TGGTCTGTCATTTGTGGTGGTTCCGTGGGACCATTTATCATTATCGGGAAGGCTGGGTTACTGCAGATAGAACAGGCTGAACTCTGTGGAGACAAAGATGAACTTAGGATATAGTTCAGTTTTCTCAGAGCTCACATGGGTGGGAATGAGAGGACTTGGCCAGAGCAGTCATATTTCTATTCTAGCACTGACTTTGTAATTGGAATCTTGTGTCAATTACTAAGGCCAGGTGAGTGACTTTGCTAGGTGTAAGCCATTTAATAAAAGGTCGTCTTTTACCTCACTTGTAAGGAGAAAAATTATCATCTAGGAGAAAAATTTTGGCAAAGGGCATTCCAGGTAGAAAGAAATGTGAATTAAATGTTGAAGGAAGAACATAGAAAACTTAGGGAACAACAAACTTCTCATTGGGCTTCAAGCCAGAGCTCCATGAAAAGGAAGGAACTGGGGAATGTGGGGTAYAGGAGTTACAGGAGTTGAGGCTGGAAAGGGATGCAGTGAAGGTGTTGTTTAGAACCCAAGTGTGCAAAAAATATAACAATTTTATACAACAAGTTAATTTCAGTTTCAAGTCCTTTCTCAAATAATGTGATAGAAACCCAATCTTAGCTATTTTAGGGTAGCCTTCACCTTTCCTTGGGATGTGCTAGGAGGCCAGCCTCGCTCCAGACACATGTGAAGGTCAAGTGTCCTTCAGCACTGTCTTCCACATGGGCATCCCATTGGGCACTCGTGTTCCCTTTTCTTAGGAGCACTGGGAACATTTGTTTCTTCTGCCTCTCTCTAGGTCCAGGAAGACTCTCGGGAGCTATCCCGAAGCTTCCTCAATTAATTATATAATCATTCTTTTTTCAAGTTCWACGGGAGAACAGGCTTTTCTTCTGGAAATCAGGTATTAGGAGATGGCTTTTCTCTCCTGGGCCCTCAGGTGTCTATACTGTTATCAATTCTTAACTGCATCTTTTCTCAGCACATTTTTTAGTCTAAAAAAGGTAGAAGTCATTTTCATAGAATTTAAGCAAAATATTTTTTTGCCTTGCTCAGTTTCCTTTCCCACTCTTCAGGGATAGACTTTGGGCTCACAAAAGTCAAAAAGAAACCTGCACACTGTTTTCTCTTTAGCTGTGGCAGTGATTTCCTGATTTCCTCATAGCTACTGGAATGAGAAAAAGGATGTGGGGATAAAGAAAATATCTGGAAAACCATTGGTTGATACTTCAAAAATATGATGCTGTCACGTGTACATTGTGACAAGATTGCAAATGGATTAATATGACGTATTCTGGGCCTTGGATTTTATCTTTGATGCAATGGAAACAGTCACTGAAGATTACAAATGGAAACAACAAAATCATATTTTTTCCACAGATAAAATATGATGAAAACATGAAGACCTGATTGAAATAGAAGGTCAAGGTAGAAGGTTCTTAATTAAGTAGAGGTTGACAAAAGTTATTTTTARTAAATTAAAAAATACTATGCCAAATCTTGTCTTGACTTGGCTCTTTTCTCCTGTAATATCCTCACTAAATAAAAGATTTGCTTGATTATCACCTTTCTAAAGAATTTACTCGTAATGAATTTGTAAATCAGGCATCGTGGGTCATACAGTATCTATAGGGGATAAACAGGTAATTGTGAAGGAGATCCCCGAATCTTCGGGTAAAATAATAGGGAATGGTGAAGAGCTGAATGGAGGCTGAACTCTACTTAGTTCTAGCCGATTGTCATGTGAGAGTGCAAAGCGAGCATTAGGATCTTTTTCTTTTTAAAATGAGAAATCTGAAGTCTGGATTTTTGTATAGAATTTCTCTAGTATTAGATATTGGCAAGTAATTTAAAATATATAAATATATACATACACAGACTGAAAGCCAAACAAAACAGTTTTTTGTTTTTTTGGTTTGTTTTGTAGTACTGGGCATTGAACCTGGGGCCCTATACATACTAGGCAAGTACTCTACAGCTAAACTACAATCCCAGTTCTTTTTATCTTATTTTATTTTTGGTACTAGGGATTGAACCTAGGGGCACTCAACCACTGAGCCATATCCCCAGTGTTTTTTTTTTTTTTTTTTTTAATTTGATTTAGAGACAGAGTCTCACTGAATTACTTAGGGCTTTGCTAAACTGCTGAGGCTGGCTTTGAACTTGCAATCCTTCTCTCCTGCCTCAGGTTCAAAGCTACTGGGATTACAGGCTTGTGCCACCATGGGCAGCCACAGAACAGATTTTTGAGATCACAGCAGTTGGTACTCTTTAGAATTAGATGAGGTTTTCACACTTTAGCAATACCACAATTGTGTTATACTTTAATAAGCATAATTACTTGGTGTACTTATTTAAAAATTTAGATTTATAGGACCCTCCCTCCAGAGAGTCTGATTCTACGTAATCTGGCATAGTTAAGAGTATAAAATTAAACCTTAGTATTATTTGACTCAGGCACTATTATGTTTCAAAACAACAGTTGATCATAAGAAAAAAAAATTTTGATGGTGCTGAGGATCAAATCCAGCGCCTTGCATGTGCAAGGCAGCACATACCCACTGAGACACATCCTCAGCTCTCATGAGAGAATTATTCAGAAAATTAAGACCCAAATTCAAGGCTCAGAATAGTAGTTCTCAACACTATCAAATCTAATTTCTATAAAATACTCTTTATGCTGCTTTTATTATTCTAAATGRGTTTCATAAAATATAAATTCTAATACATATTTTTCTTTTAAAAATAATTAACATATTTTGACTTTATTTTGAGCTGGGGATGATGGCATTCTAGATACTGCCTCTCAGCCCACTCTCAGAAGCATGTTTTAACTCCAAAAATAAAACTAACAGCAGCACAAATAATTTCTAAAATAATTTATAAATGTTTAAAAACAATGACTTTGGGCACCAACCCCTTAATGAGAATGCTTGTCTAAAATCTTGGTCTAAACTCCTTTTCTAAGTCTCCATGTTGTAAGGAATGTGGGCAAATGACCACAAGCTAAYGTAGGGGTTTGGATGATGGGGGACCAGAGCATTAACCATGAGGAAGGATGGTATTTGAATAACTCCAGATACAGATTTGAGAATTGCTGAAGCTGGCCAAGGACATTCTGGGAGCATGCATAGGATTCTGGGAAACACCAGAATTTAGGGAGGAGGAATAGTACAGAGAGCCAGTGAACAGGAGACTAAGGGAATGTGGTCACAGTGRAATGAGTTTCAAGAAGCCAGAAGACAAGAGTCAAAGTGACTATTTTAGTTTCAGAATTGGTTTCTAATGAATGAAACTATATATGTGGTATTGTTGTGTATATAAATGCAGAGGATCCAATTTTTAAAAATATTTCTTAGTTGAAATTTCTTAGTTAATATTGTAGTTGAACACAATACTTTTATTTTATTTATTTATTTTTATGCAGTGCTGAGGATTGAACCCAAGGCCTTGCATGTGCTACGCAATCACTGTACCACTGAGCCACAACCCCAGCCCTGAGGATCTAATTTTGACTTTGAAAATATATGTATTTACATGGTCTTAGCCTGAACTTTCTCAAACTGAAAAGTCATAGTCTGAGTAYTTTTTGGACATCTTCAGTTGAATATCTTCAGCACTAAAAAATAAAAGTGCTCACTACTGATCTCATAATCTTCCTTCATCTGTTAAGAGCAACTCTTTCTACTGGCTTATTTCCCACCATAGTACTGCCGTTCTCCAGATGCTTAGGCTAGAGGTCTTGATCACTTTTTACTGTCTACTTGCATTCCATTAATGAGGTCCTGTAACTTCTTCCACTGTAAATATTATATTTTCCTAACTTTCTATTCTCATTCAGGCCTTTTCCCCCTATATAATTGTAATAGTTCAAGTTCCTTAGTCTTTCTTCCAGTTTACCTTGCCCATTACTGACAGCTAAATCCTCGATCATATTTCTGATTATAGCCATTTTATCTCAGAACCACTGATTGATTGCCAGTTTGTTTTCATATTCCATACATGCCTGAATAGACTATTTTTTCCAGGCACATATGGCCCTTGTTACTTCCATGAAACATATCCCATTCCCCTGCCACACTGGCTTGCTTATTCTTCAAACTTGCCTATACTTTGCCCATATTGCTCATCTTGCCAAAAATACTTTTCCTCCTCTTTTCCACACTCATCAAGATCAGACTTCTCTCATATTATAACCTAGCTTTTTGTAATGACTRTAAGATTTAAAGTGTATCTACCCATTGATCTTGCAGTCTTGATTGTGATAATTTATCCTACAAAATGTTTACCATATTATGTGCACAAGTATGTTTAATGCAGCATTGTTTATTGCAGTATAATATTAGAAACAACTAAAATAGATTACACTTTGAAAAAATAGATTCACATATATACTGACAAGGAAAATGGCCATTGCATGTAGACTGTGAGTCCATTTTTAAAAAACTAAGCATGTGTTTGTATTTGCCCATGTGTATATATGCATGTATGAAATCTGAAAATATATGTGCAAAAAGTTGAATAAGTGTTTATTTGTTGTATGTTTGTGTGTGTGTGGAGGGGGATAAAGATGTGAAGGACTTTTTAAAGTACTTGGCCCAAAGATGTTAGCATTTTGCTAATATTGGGTGATGTTTACTACACTATTCTTTGTGATAATTTGATACATTGTTCATAGTGATAATTATTTAATAATTTTAAAATAAAAATAAAAACTGGAGAAATTCAGTRTTAGATTTTAAATATGTGTCAAGTATGTGTTGATATTTATTATCAATTTGCATGTCTTTTTGCAAGTAAGCCTCATTGAATTTAGTCTGTATGTGGTTGCACACAGCCAGCAAAGAAGAATTTAAGTGGATGACATACTGCTTTTTTGCAATTAAAACTGAGTCAGTTTGACCTATTTTGTGTAAATTATTGAGTGAGATGAAGTTGATTCATTTTTATCTTTTTATTTTTACTGGAGACCAAAGAGACATAAATTTTGTGTTTGTTTTATGGTGATCTAGGTGGAGCTGACTTTAAACTGAACATCAGTCTGGAGGAAGAAATGACCACGTAATTAAACATTTTTTTCTTACTATTGTTTTGTTAACATTTTCTGTATCAGTCCATTTATAGTATCTTTCAAAACTTTGCAGTGTCATAATAAAAAAGTAAATTTTTGAGGAGAACAAAACCCATTATTAGGATTCAAGGGGTATGCATTATAGAATTTTTTACATATTTTTGACTTGTAGAATATATTTTTGACATTTTACACATACATGGAGTATAATTTCTCATTCTTGTGGTTGTTTTTAAAGAAAAATATTTGCTGCACAAGATGAACCAAAGTTAAGATTAAGCCTAAATTAGATTTATGTCTGTACTGGCAAAGACAGATACATACACAGGGAAATTAGAAGAGGACAAGGTAGTCTTTTAAAATATAGTTGAATTAAGAATCATTATTTTTAATGACTTTGTAATTATTCAGTTTTTTTTCTTGAGTGCTTTCAATCATGACATGATAGATCAGCCTAAAAAAATTTTTTAAAGGCCAACATCTAATTCTCAGCAATAAAACATCCCAAAGGAAATAAAACATCCCAAAAGTCACTCTGACCTAACACAGGGAAACTTTTTGTTAATGATTCATGCATCATGAAGTTTACCCCCCAGAACAATTTATAACAGATGTCCAAAGTTATATATTAGTGAATCAGAATGATTGTATGTTATAATCTAAATAATAGGTTTAAGGAAAGTGCAGACAGTTGACATACTTGATTCTATTTTGAAGGATGAGAAACAAATACCTCCAATTATTTCTGTGAAGAAGAACTGTTTTTTTATATTGGGAAAACTAGAATGTCTTGGTTGTTTAAAATGTTACATTAGAATATATTACTGACWCTCAAAACAAGAGCTCTACTTGTTAAATGGGATTTCATTTAGCTCTTTCTTGGTGTATCATTAACAYTTTGATAATAATTAACCCAGAGTTACCTATTAACTAAAATTTAGTTTTCTGATTATAGATTCTCTGACAAATAAATTGCAAACTAGAAGATAGAGCTTGAGGGGAAGATTTGTCTAGCAAGATTCCTGATGGGTTGAACTCAAAATTGTGAACAGTGACATCAGGGACTGTTTATTRCATGGCCATTTTTACAGCTTCTACATGGCATGCATTCTTATTAGAAGACAGCAAGTGGAGAACTTTTAAAAATGGGGAAATTGGTATCCTGTTTTAGAATGTTTTCCTTTAACCTAAAAATTAATTTTTGCCGAATGCGGTGGTACACGCCTGTAATCCCAGCAGCTTGGGAGGCTGAGGCAGGAGGATCACAAGTTCAAAGCCAGTCTCAGCAACAACAAGGAGCTAAGCAACTCAGTGAGACCCTGTCTCTAAATAAAATACAGAATAGGGCTAGTGATATGGCTCAGTGGTCAAGTGCCCCTTAGTTCAATCCCTGGTGCCAAAAACAACAACAAAATATTTATTGAAGCCCAAGAGTTATTTGCTTTTTGAAATATAAGAAAACATTAATTCAACATTTATAGATATCAAGCATCTGGTTTTATAAGATGCTTATTTTTTATTGTTGAAGTTTAAACTGGAACAGCTACTGTTTGGTTCATTGAACATTTTAGGATAGCTCATGATGATTGATAATGTCCAGTTGCATAGATAATATAAAAATTCCTTTTATTTTCAGTTGTCAATTAACATCTAAATTCTGTTAGACTAATAGACCAAAAGGCCAGGGGACCACTTCCMTATCTTGGTTTCACTTTCTGACAAGTTCTGTCACTTCTATCCATCCTCTAATGTGCAGAGACCACTCCAGAGGCTTATTGATCAATGCTGATCTAATAAAAGTAGTCAAGATTATAATGATGCGTTTCTCTGAGGTCCCAGCACACATGATCTTCCATAGTAACTGACATTCTCTCAGTGCTTACTATGTGCCAGGCACTGGTCCAGGTATATTCACACAATACTGCATTACTATTGTTATCTSCATTTACCAGTTAGAAAACTGAGTCTTGGGAAAGATTACTAAGCAGCTTGATGAGATTATACTGCTGTTAAGTAAAAACTTAGGGTTTAAGCCAAAGAGGAAACCATTTTTACAAATTCCTTGATATTGACCCAGAGATAGTTGGATGCTGACCATCAATTCTGCTTGTTACAACCCCTTATTATTTGTTAAGGATGAAGAGATGCCCGGAAAACTTAAAATTAAGTGAGTGGTCTGGTGGGGAGAGATGCATTGATTAGAAAACASAGTATGTACAGTCTTCTTGTTTTTCAGGTATGCCTATTATTATAGTGGAATCGGTGCTGGTGTGCTTGTTGCTGCTTATATTCAGGTTTCATTTTGGTGCATGGCCGCTGGAAGACAAGTCCACAAAATTAGAAAACAGTTTTTTCATGCTATAATGAAGCAGGAGATAGGCTGGTTTGATGTGCATGATGTTGGCGAGCTTAATACCCGGCTCACAGAGTAAGTACCTAGTTTTATTCTTAACTCCGACGTGGGTCTTATCCTTAATGAAGTGAAATAGATGTCATCAGATCTGTTAGGAGGTGTTAATGTATCACTCATAAGACTAAGCAGCAACCATGTCTTATGCACCTTTTTGTTCCCAGTCCCCTGGCAAGCAATGAGGGAACCTGCATGACTAGCACTGAATGARGGATTAGACTTGCCAAAATCAAGAAATACTCTGAAAATATGCAGAAAGCAGTGTACAGTACAGCATTAATATCACATCTTCTAGTGCAATTTCTAAGCTACTTGAAATTTCTGCATTGACAGTTTCTTAAGTATACCATCTCCATTTCCTAGGGTCATCTGAATTACAGCTTCTTGTTGTTAATGACAGTTTTTTTTTTTTTTACTAGAAACTTACACCCTGCCAAATAAAACAAGCCCATACAACAAAGACTCCAGATGTAAATTAATATACTCAACACCTAGCAAWACTCAGGAAAAAAGTTCTGGGAGTACAATTCTGACATTTTCTAAAATTATCTGTTCTTTCAGTGATATCTCCAAGATTAATGAAGGAATTGGTGACAAAATTGGAATGTTATTTCAGTCACTGGCAACATTTTTCACTGGTTATATAATAGGATTTACACGTGGTTGGAAGCTAACCCTTGTGATTTTGTCCATCAGCCCTGTTCTTGGACTGTCAGCTGCTCTCTGGGCAAAGGTAGGTAAAGACTATACATCCAGATTTTAAACTACTCCCCACAACCCCATGGAAGGATCTTTTAACCATGATAGCAATGATTCTGAATTTGATATTTGCCTTCAAATATTCTGTTCACAATCGGCAGAATAAGCTGATCCCACCTCACTGAGTACTAACCCTTGCTCTGTGATGTTCTTGGCCATGTGAGAATTTGGGGAAGAGATGAAAAATATGGAAGTGGCTTTTACATATCATCCTGTGCCTTCATGAAAAATACATGCTGAACTCCAAAGATCTGTGTTCTGTAGAGAATAATATAGTGAACTCACTCACATTGAACTCACTGTAGTGAACAATTCAAGTTCAGTGAATGACACGTGTATTCTATTCAACTAACATTTTCAATGTTAATAGTTTTGGTTTTGTAGATTTTGCTTACTTAGTAAATTGATATTACAGTTTTTCCATCACTGTGAGTGGTTCTGTGTTTATATAGATTCAGATCCATTGTTAGAATAATAATTTAAGAAAATACTTTCAAGCCTTAGTTACACGTAAGTTCTTAGCTTTCAGTTCTCTTTCTCCCAGTCAAATGGTCCTCCCAACTCTGCACAGTTCTTCCAATGATTTTTTTGAAACTCGTTTCCCATTTTGATAGTGTTATTCATTTTACAAACTGATTTGATGTAAGACTGGGTATGCAATAAAGAGATTGGCCCATTATATAATTTTTTTGTTGGGTTCCATATAATGTGGAGAGGGTGCTAMAAATTTATATACCAAAAAGATGTAAGTAATGGAAGACCAACCACAGCCACGCCCGACACAGAGTAAGTCAGACTGTAAGTATACYTTTAGAAATTTCCCCCTATGGGATAGATATTGTTTTGTTACTGCAAACCATAACTGCCATTTATTGAACATCTGCTATGTCAAGCAAATACATATATTATCTTTCTGAAGCATGGGTCTTATCTTACTTTATGGAGGAAGAAATTAAAGTTCTGAGGACTCTGCCAATTTGTTGCTCAGAGTTATGAAGGATTTAAATGGTGTTCCTAATGGTTATCGGTCAGCTAAAATATTTGGCAAAAATTTCTTGTTGTTAATTGATTTTTTTTCTGTTTACTAGGACACTAAGCAAGCTAGGTGCAAACTCTTTACATCAGTCATTGATTGAAAAACTACTTAAAATCTGTTAATATYTAAGTTAGGAATACAGACCATGATTTAATATTTTAATAATTAATTACTTATTGCTTCAGATACTATTTAAGTAGGAGGAGGAGCCTTACGCTACTKGCTGAGACCTAAATTATAATCTCTACTCTGAAATAATCTTTTGTTATGATTTTCAAAACATTTCTTAAAGTATCTGATTATCAACCACATTAAAAAAATAAATATGTACTAATTTGGGAAGCCTTTTTATCCCAGTGAGCATGAGGCTCTCCTTTGCAACTCAGAGATACAAAAGCAAAAGGCAAGAACAGGAAGGGCTCCAGTCCCAACAAATAGCTTGGTCTSGGAATTGCCTTTGTAGCTATGTGCCCAAGACCCTATTCCCCTGACCAGAGATACTGGGGCAGCTGGAGAGCAGAAATAGGGGTAACCACCACACTCTTTCCCTACCAAGAGATACTGCAAGTCTTACCTRGAGAAACCACTTTCACTTTCTCGGAAAGTGGAAACAGGAGCCATAAAGATCCCAGTAGCTCCAGATAAACCAAGCTGACCAAAACACTACAAGAACTCACAAATGTAGGCCAGAAATACCACACAATACCTAAAGAGAGTAACTGCCTGCTAAACTATAAGAGTTAAATAACAGACAACAGCATCTCCTAAGAAAATAAAAAAAAAAATGTGCAGAATGCAATAGAAAGTCATCTATCATACCAAGAATGAAGGGCATTACAACTTGAATGGGAAAATAAAACTGAAAACAATTTGTTGGCCCCAACCCTGAGATAATGAGATATTGGAATAATCTGACATCAATTTAAAAATAGCTATCATAAAAATGCCTCACAATTTTTTTGAAGTAAAAAAAAWMAAMCAACCAAACAAACAAAAAACAGCAAAATGGAAGTGATTAAAAAGATCAAAATGAAATTAGAGAACTGATAGACACAATAGGAATAAGAATCATGCTGAGTGGGTATCATCTATGAAAATAAATGGGAATGATAGAATTGAATCAGGGAACCTGGATGTAGAATAATAGAATTCATCCAGTCTGAAATAGAGAAAAGGAAAAGAGCTTCAGGGACCCGTGGGATCATAACAAAAAATCCTAAGTTCATATTATCATCAGAGTTCCAAAAGAAAAGGAGAAAGAGAACAATGGAGCTAAYGTAAATTTGAAGAAGTCATGGCTAAAAAGTCCGACCCCCCTTTCTCCTCTTCTTTTTTTTTTTTTTTTGGTACTGGGGATTGAAATCACTGAGCCACATCCCCAGCCATATTGTGTATTTTATTTAGAGACAGGGTCTCATTGAATTTCTAAGCACCTTTCCATTGCTGAAGCTGGCTTTGAACTTGAGATCCTCCTGCCTCAGCCTCCTGAGCCACCACCATGCCCTGCAAAACTTCCCATTTTTGGTAAAAGACAAACCATTAGATGCAAGAAGCTAACCCCAAACAGGATAAACCCAAAGAAATTCATGCTATGGAACATAATTAAACTACTGAAAAACAAAGAAAAAAAATATGGAAATAGCCAGAGAGAAATAACACATTACCTATTGGGAAACAACAACTTGGATGATAACAAATCTCTCATCTGAAGCCATGAATTCCAGAAGGAAAGTAGCACAATATTTTTCAAGTATTCAAAAACCAAAAACAAAATAAACTTATCAAGCATAAATACTAGATCTGGTAAGATTATCCTCCAGGAATAACCAGAATGTAACATCAGTAAGAATAGTTTGAGATTAAAGAAAATTGGAAAATATTTTCACTGTGTACCTTTTGTTGAAGACTGGCTAAGTAACATTCTTCAAACAGAAAGAAAATGATAAGAGAAGGGATATTGGAACATTTAGCAAGAGATAAGGAACAACAGAAAGARCTGAAGTATGGACATATACATACAATAGACTTTAGTTTTCCCATTGAGRTTTATAAATCATATTGATGGTTGAAACCAAAAATTGTGAGAGGTGAAATGTTACCAGTAGACTCTTATAAGTCGTATATGAATATTAATTAAAGTCCTAAGCCCCATATTAGCAAAACAAATCCAGCAAATGTATAAAAGAATTATACATTATAAACAAATGGGATTTATTGCAGCTATGTAATACTGGTTTAATGTTTGAAAATCAATCTTTGTAAGCAATCATAGCAACAAACTAAACAAGAAAAAACATGATCATATAAGTTGACACAGAAAAACATTTGGCAACATTCAAAACAAAGTGCTAGAACTTCTAAGTTAATGCATACAGTTAATGCAACTAGTTGAAAATATAACACCTTTTAAAATCATTAAAATTAAAATTTAAAATTTAACCACTTAAATATATAGGTTCTCTGTGGTGAAGATTATTCAGTGCTGGTGAGAAAAATTAAAGACCAAAAATGAAGAAACATCATGTGTTTAAGAATTAGAAGACAATGCTTAAAGAAGTCAGTTCTTTCCAAACTGCCTTGGAAGTTTAAGACAGTTCTTATAAAAATTCAGTAAGGCTTTTTATAGACAGACAAGCAAGGCTATTCTAAAAATCTATATGGAAAAACATAGGCCCTGGAGAACTAAAGCAATCATAGGGGGAAAAAAGAGGAAAAAGTCCACCTGGTATTAGGCRTACTGTATAGTTAAGAGTCAACAAGACAGTGTGGTATTGGTGAAAGAATAAATACACAGATCAATGAAACAGAATAGAGAACTCAAAAACAATTATGCACATGTGCCCAGCTGATTTTTGATGCAGGTGCAAAAGTGTTTTAATGGAGGAAGGGACAGCCCTTTCAACAATTTCAACAATAGTGCTAGAGTTTAATTGGACATCCATAGGCAAAAAAGCAACAGCCTCCACCTAAACTTTGTATTTCATAGGAAAGTTAACTCAAAATGGATCACAGATTTAAATGTAAAACCTAAAGCTGTAAAACTTAGAAAAAACATAGGGAAAATATTTTGGATGTAGGACTGGGCAGAGTTCTTAGACTTAAAACCAAAAGCATAATCCCTATTTGGAAAAAAAAAAAAAGATAAATTAGACTTCACCAAAATTAAGCTCTTCCTCTGTGGAAGCCTGTGTGAAGAGAATGAAAAGACAAGCTACAGACTGGGAAAGAATTATATGCTAACCACTTATCTGACAAATAACTACTATGTAGGATATAAAGAACTCTCAACATCCAATTAAAAGGAAAAACTATAAGAGAAAGAACAAAAGACATGAAAGGACATTTCAGGAAAGGGGCTGTAAAGATGGCAAATAAGCTGTTGTTCAGCAGCATTGGTCAACAGTGAAATGCAAATTAAACCATAATGAGATACCACTACCCATTTACTAGGATGGCTAAAATTTTTAAATAGTGAAATGCCAAATGCTGGAGAGACTACAGAGGAAACCAGTCGCTTATGGATTGCTGGTGGGAATGTAAGATGGCACAGCCACTGTGGAAAACAGTTTCACAGTTTCTTACAAAACAAAATTTGCAGTTACCATATAACCCAGCCATTGCACTCCTGCATTATTGAGAGAATAGCCTTAAACTGGAAACAATCCAGATCTCCTTTAATAGGTGAATGATTAAATAAACTGGTACATCCCTACCATGGAATATACCCAACAATTAAAAACTGAAGTACTACTGATTCATGCAACAACCTGGATGAATCTCTAGAGATTTATACTGAGTGGGAAAAAAGCCTATCCTAAAAGGTCATATGCTGTATGATTCCATTTATATAACATTCTTAAAATGGCATAATTATAGTGATGACAATAAATTAGTGGATGCTAGAATTTAGGAATGTTGGGGGAAAGGAGAGGCAAGGGGTGAGGGCAGAGGTGGCTTTGGTTGTAAAAGGTAGCAGGAGGACAGATACCTTATGATGGAATTGTTCTTTATGACTGTGGCAGAAGTCACATAAATCTGTATTAGTAATAACATTGCTTAAACTAAATATCACATACATGCATGAGTGCATATAAGATGGTAGATGTGAATGATATTGTTGGGTATTATCAATAAATTCTTGGTTTGGATCTTATTCTGTAGTTTTCAGGATATTGTTATTGGGGGACACTGGATAAGGAACATATGGGACCTCGTTGTATTCTTTTTACAACTACATGCGAGTCTACACTCACCTCAAAATAAAAAAAATTAAAAATAAAACATTTATAAAAAACAAAAGACTACTTTTTTGTAAGTGGGAAAATGGGATAAGGATGTGGTCACAATTATTATAGTAATCCCAAATACTCCTTCTGAATATAGTAGTCTGAAGGATAATAAAACTGTATATATAAGACTGAGTCTGTCTGTCTCTGTCTCTGTCTCTCTCTCTTATATATATATATGTGTGTGTGTGTGTGTGTGTGTGTGTGTGTGTGTGTGTGTGTGTGTTTGGTGTTGTGGTGGTGCATGGAACCCATAACCTCAAATATGCTAATTATGCACTCTACCAATGAGCTAGATCCCCAACCCTTTAGACAGTTTTTTTTTTCTTTTTTAGTTGTAGATGGACATAATACCTTTATTTTATTTTTATATGGTGCTAAGGATCAAACCCAGTGCTTCACACATGCAAGGCAAGCACTCTACCACTGAGCTACAGCCCCAGCCCTAGACAGCTTTTTAACTTGTAGAAATAACAGTTTCATATATCTCAAACTAATACCTATTAGGCTTTATTAAGAAACCATCAGACTTTGGAAAGGGATGGTTGGTGATACTTTATATAGTTTTATATGGGTAATTAGAATAATGGAAGTGTCACCTATTTTTTATATTGGAAGAATAGTAGAAGTTAATTTTTAATATCCTTGAGAATAGGTTTGAGAGTTTTGTTCTTTTGACAGATATAATCTATTGAAAAGACACTTAATAAAGATCCTGTCATATTCTTGTCTGCTTAGGAAGGTCATAGAAGGAGAAAGGAATTCATTATGGTACTTGATATATTCATAGTAAATTAAAATAGCATATTTTAAAACTCCAAAAATATTTCTTGATAACACTTCTGTTGTTAGCTGCCTAAGCTGTGTCAGTGCAGTGCTTCAAGGGGAGTGGAGAAGCATTGTTAAAGCATACTATATGAGCCTCCTCTATTCTGCAGACCTATATGCTCAGGGATGGCTCTGACTAGTCTCATAAGTTTGTGAATTATTCAGAAAAGTGTGGTAGACCAGCCCTAGAAGGAGGGCTCAAAGTCAGGAAGGTCTAGTGAATCTATGGGATATTGTTTGGGTACTGAAGAAGACAAGTTCATGCAGCATGACATCTGCTCATAGAACATCATTAATAAGTGTTAATAACTCATCTACCCATTCCTGTGTCTGTTATAGCTCTATTTACTTGCACATCAGGAAAGGAAGAAATGCACTGTTAAAATCAAAACAGCTTTGATCTTTTCAGGCTGAGAAGGAATAGACTGATATTACTTACATTAATGAGCTTACAAATGACTGTGAATTACCTGCTGAAAGAGTATAATACTGTTTAATCAGAATTTTATTATAAATTGGTTATGTGTAATACTTATTTAGATGGTTGACCACTTTGGCATTCCTTGTGCAAGCAGTAACCTTCATGTGTACGAATTGATTCAGCTTTCCTAATAGTTCATGTTAGCAGCTGGTTTCAGAGAGAGATTCACACTAGGCTTTGAAGCTAGTGGACTCAGGCTTAAATCCTGGATATTCCACTATTAGCAAATTAATTAGTTTCTCATGTTTCCATTATATACAAAGTGGGGGAAATAATACTTATTTCACTGTGCAACTGAGACAAATAAATGAGATCTTGTGCATATAAGGTAATCAGTAATGTTCTGTTTATGGAATAAATGCTCATAAATCAGACAGCAAGATCAAAGAGCTTCCAGGAAATAAAGACCTCCCTAGTGGCTGAATGTATTGTTTTTCTAACAGCAGAGGAAACTCTGTACTTACCCTGGCATGTGAAACCTTCCTGAAGTCACTTGGTCCCCTGCATTCCTCTAGCCTCCTGGAACTTAGCACTTCTTAACCAAAGTATCAAAAGCAGTTGCTTTAAACACAAATCATATTTCCTTGATATAATATCTGTTTCTATATTTGTTTATGATTATAGTATGGTATACATTTTCTGAAATTTAACATTGCCCAAAAGTTCCAGTTATAATTATGTCAATGAGGTTTTCATTGGGAAAATAAATTTTGTAATTAATCTAATGTACTAAAGACAGTCACAGTTCATAGAGATTTTGAGGTGGTTTACAGAATGAATATGTATTCTAAAAAATGCAACATCATGACCAAAGACAAAAGAGAGATTTTGTTCTTTACATGCATTAATCTACAAACAGCATTTGTGTATATCTGTTTATTTTTACTTTGCAAAAGAGAAAGATAACTTGTTAAAAATTTTGAAGTATCTTGAATTGCACTTTTAAACAGATATTATCATCCTTTACTGATAAAGAACTCTTGGCATATGCAAAGGCTGGAGCAGTAGCTGAAGAAGTCTTAGCAGCCATTAGAACTGTGATTGCATTTGGAGGACAAAATAAAGAACTTGAAAGGTTTGAGTTTCTTTTTAAAGTTGCTAGAAATGTTCAATTCTGTGTCATATCATATACCTTTCATGTTGACAGTGTTAATTATAAGAGTTTTTCCTAATATAAATGTATTTCCTTAAATATCTTAATGAATACATTATAGCATTGCTAATATTCTGGAGAAGTTACAATTCTAGTTGCATTCTTTTTATATCTGTTAATTCAAAGAGTTTTCTACGGTTTTATTGGTGGACAGTGATGTAAAAATAATTTACTAAGTCTGAAATGTATTTTATATCTCTGATTTTTTGTTTTTGTTCTAATTCTTGATTCTGTAAGATTGAATATTTCCTGTAAAGTGTATAGGAACATTTTAATCTGTGGTTCATTCCCTTTTTTATCCAGGCTTCTACTTAGATGGATATGCTCCATAATTTGGAAGATAAAAATGTAACCAAAAACAAATTTGTACAAAAGCTCAAAATCTTTTTTATTATGTGCTGTTTACTATTGTCCTGTGACTGTTCTCTTTTATTAGCTTTCTGAGAGTTTAGATAGTAATTTATTGAAATTTATAACATTCACCAGATCCATTGATTTCTGAGCAGTGAGAGACTTTCTTTCACACAAATTAAATATATTGTTTTGGGTATAGCATTGTGTGGTAAATACATAAAGGGAATTTTTAAAGTCAAAACAATGGTCGCTTCTGGTGATGAAGTAATGTTGTCTGATAAGAGTAGGACACATGGCCCAGGAGTCTCGGGCTCTGGAAGTGTTCTGTTTCTTGACCTTAGATATGATTGCATGCATAGTCACTGTAGAATTGTTTTTATACTGCACACATTTGTTTGTTCATATGATGTATTTTATACCCACTAAGATAATGTATGATAGCTAAGTATCAAAGTTCAAAGGAAAACAACATATGTGTTCTCTTTTGATTTTTGCTAAGGATTTTGCTTTTGATTTTAATTGTGTCTAACTAATAAAATGGGAAGTCTTGCTTAATGGCCATGCCAACATTCCATTGAATAAAGTCCATACTTTCTTGGAGCTTAAATTTTTACAGGAGGAAGGGAAGGGTACAGACTACAAATGAGCAAGTATCTACAGCACCAGTTGGAGATAATATTATTTGGGAAAATGATGAGAGAACCAGAGGGGGTAGAAAGACATTATATATTTTTTAAAATTCCCTGAAAAACAATCAGTCTGTGTGTTGATGAGGATGAAAAGGAAAGATTTAAGTATGGTGGTCAGGGAAGCCCTCTTCAGGAGGTTTCATGAAGGTTGAAACCTATGAGATGAAAAAAAGCCACCCATGGTGGGAATAGGGATGGATGGGTTGGAAGAAGAATCTTCCAAATTTTCTGAGGTGCCAAAGGCTTTCTGTGTTCTAGGAAATATCATAAGACGTGTGATTAGAGGTCAGATGAGTGAGGGAAATTTGATATGGACAGAGGCCAGAATGTGGGGATCTGTAGGCCACAGAAAAGAGCTAGGACTTTATTCCATGGGCCTGGGGAAGTGGCTGAGGGTACTAAACAGAAGAATCACCATGTTGTTTTGACCTGGTGAATGGGTGAGAGCAGATAAAGGGTGGGATCAGGGAGACCAGTGGAGTGCTGATACAGCAGTACCAGGAGTGGAATTATTGTAGCCTGCTCTAGAGTGGAGACAAGAGTGACAAGTACCTAGATTTGGGATTTAATTCGAAAGCACAATGGATAAGATTATTTTTAGAACAAACATATTCCTTCAGTTTTCTCTCTGGCTCTTTTTGTCTTTGTATCTCTTTCCATGTGGACTAGCAATCAAAGTCTTGGTCTGATTTTCTCTTCAAAATAGCAGATACAGGAGGAAATTAGCTATCTTGGAATGGAAATTTAATCCTAATTGTAAACAAAYGTAATAGAATCATTTTGTTCTCCTTAATTTAATAATATTCTTCTCTCTTATGTGTGCTTTGCAAATATATTTGTCTATTAGTATTATTTTCCATTTGTTTAACCAAGATTATTCCTCCTTTTAAGCATTTACTTTCATCTTTGACAAGTATTTTCATAATAGTTAAGAAGATTTTCTAAATATTAATGTTTTGCTATATTCAGTTCATTTTAGGAACTTCTACTTTATTATTCCTATGCTAAATCTTTTAATGGAAAAATGATATTAAAATCTGGTTTTATACTGACTGACATTTTATGGAAAAATTAACAAAGAGCCTATGTAAAAAGAATATTGTTTATGTCAGCTCTCTCTTCTACCCTCTTATCTTCATTTAGCTTTTATGGTGTCTAAATTATTTTCTTCCTGTTGTTGCTTTTTCTTGTGCAAATGTTTCCTCTGGCTGTATAGGACAATAGCATATCAGTGAAATGGTTTCTGCATTAGTCTCAGTAAGCAAGAATGGAAAAAAAGGAGATGGTAGAGTGTGAGTCAAAAGCATTAAACCTCCTTAATGTAATCATGTGTAACTTATGCCAAGTAGTACCTTATACCTCAGCTAAATTCAATTCCTAAAGTGGGAGATATACACATACTCTGCAGAAGCATGTTGTAGCTGGCAAGTTAAGGATGTTCATATTTTATCACTATAAATTTCCATTTAAATTTGGTCTTTAGTGGATGTGATCATCATATAAATTTCATCTGCCATACTTTTGTAATGATAAAGTGGCTAGTTAAAAAAAAAAAAAAAAAGTAGACAGAAAGACCAGAAAGGAGATGGTTAGAGTGTGGGTTATAAGCATTAAACTTTCTTAATGTAATCATGTGTAATTTATGGCAGATGGTACTATGTACCTCAGCTCAGCTCCTAAAGTGGGAGATATATACACACTTGTGTGTGCCACACCCCTGAACCCTGCAAAGGAAACATGTTATAACTGACAAGTTGAGGATCTGCATATTTTATGACTATAAAGTTCCATTTGAATTTGTTCTTAGTGGACATATAAATTTCATTTGGCATGCTTTTATATTTGTGATAAAGTAGTTGTTTATAAAAAGTAGTCATAAAGACCAGAGAGAATTCATGCTCATATTGGTCAGGGGTCGAATTCTGCTGTACTAATGAAATGAATCCTTCAAAGAAAACATAATACTCTGTAACATTCAGATACTGGTGTATTTAATGGACCAAAGACTCCCAACTCTGAATTCTGCCAATAAGTTTCTTCATTTSAATAGCCTGAGCTCCTTTCTGCAAGGCATTACTCTGGGTTTTGATAGGAGGTCTGACAAAGAGGATAAAGACAACTTTAAGGCTAAATTACCATTTGTCCTATTTCTCTAATAATTTTACCTTGTTTCTATATTTGTAAAGTTTTGTGTCTTTCTTTAACTCTTGGTCCTGTTAGCTTATCTCCATATCTATCTTCTTAAATCAATTTTTGTATGTTTCTTTTAAATGAAGGTAAAATTATAGGCACTATCTCCTTTTGCTTTAACATCAAAAATTGTCCACTCTTTGAAGGTTTAAAGTACTTTAAAGCCTGTTAAGTCATTAGAATTGAAGAAAGAAAATGTTTCAGTGGACTCCAACATTTTTCATTGTTGTTTATGTTTGCTTGCTTGTTTTGTATGTAACTCCTTATGTTTATGCTAAGAGGTCTCATGGGAGTTCTCCAAGACATTGTGCTGTGCATGGATAGCAGGGCTATAAATGTTGAAATTTTTATTTTTCTTAGCCCTCATAGCCGGAAAGCCTTGGGTGGCCCAAGCCACTTACCCCTAGCAGCAGGCAGCCATGGCATGAAAAATGTTGGAAGAAAAAATATAGGCAATGTGTAGAAAGACTAAAAGAAGGGGACACTGATAAATACTGGAGGAATATTATATATTTTTAAGCCTCAATAAATTTTTTAGGTCAGCGACTTTTAAAATAGATTATCTATGGAAACTAGATAAATTGTATAGCTTAAATGTATTACATGTATTACATGTCAATTCAAAGCATGCAAAATCTCTCACACATGTAATCTCCCAGTTGATCCTTCCAAGAGTACCAAAGGGAGGCAGGCTCGGGAGCAAGTTGTCCTTAAGGGTCAGAGATTTAAATGACATTCTTGTGTTTAGTACTTTCTAGAACTATGTCTCCATTATATTAATTAATGGAAGAGGCATGCAAATTCTGAAGGGAGGGCAGCTTTTTTCATAGCTTCTTATTTTGTTTTGTGTGTGAAACAGTACATATCCTGTATGTTTGCTAAACATTGCTTCACTTATTTCACTATTGCTAAAGCCAGAGAAGGAACTTTTAGAATACTCATCCACAAATAAGTTAGTCCCTGTAAGCCTCATTTTCATGTTCTACAAGAAGAGAATAAAATAGTAATAACATCATAATGTCAATGTAAGGGCAAAAGGAAAATACATGTATGTTACTAGGATGAGCATATTCTAGCTACTCAATCACCATCATGCTGCATTGACATTTTCATAAGATTTATGAGTATATATGATAATTTTTGTTCTTTCTCCAAGGTATAATAAAAATTTAGAAGAAGCTAAAAGAATTGGAATAAAAAAAGCTATCACAGCCAACATTTCTATGGGTGCTGCTTTTTTGCTGATCTATGCATCATATGCACTGGCATTCTGGTATGGGACTTCCTTGGTCCTCACAAAGGAGTATACTATTGGAAAAGTGCTCACTGTAAGTTATATATGAGTCATAAAAAGAAATGTCATTATTTAAAATGCTAATGAAATCAAGTGGCTTTATCTTTACTTTAAAAGAATATACTCTGAACAGTTATTGAATATTCCAAAGAAATAGGTGTTACTAGATTAGAATGGTAAGGAAGTCCGATGCATTCAGCAAGCAATTTTGTGGTCTCTTTTGCAAATTTCTTGCACAATTCTTCCTGTAGCCTAAATAATAGTAACATTATCAATCTCTCTAGCAGAGACTTTCATTTAATGAGATCATTTCTTTGTGCCAAAATTAATACTAAACATTTTTATTTTCTAATTTACTATTCACATTAACAGATGGCAAAACACATAGTTTACTTTCAAATTATTTTGAATGGCAACTAATCTACCTCACAAATTGATGAAAGACAATGAAATAATTGGCAAACCAAGTTCAATCTGCATCCTTTAGGGAAGGTCACTCCATTTCTTTCTTAGGCCAAGCACAAGTATATTGCATTAACCAGAGACTGTGTTTCCTTAAATAGTTTATCTTCTCAGGATTCACATTTGTAATAATTTCCTCTTGGGTTTTTTTCAGCCTGTTGCATCATCCAGCATTTGTGAGGCTGTCCTGAGAAGGAATGGCTTTTACGAAAAAGACTTTTTAGGATAGTGATGCTGTGGGTGAGGGTAGGTTGTAGTAAGAGATGTATATTGCCTCATTTTAATATACATAAGCAGTTTATTTCATTTTACTCTTTGTAGTGCTGGGGAGTTTAACTTAGGGCCTAACTCATCCTAGACAAGAGCTTCTACTACTGAGCTATACCCCCATTCCTAGATGAGCAGTTTAAATCCAGTATTCACTGAACCCAAATCTGCTTCACAAACTGGAGTCATTTGGAATAGTGAGTTCAGGATTTGATATCAGACCAACATGTTTCTAATTCCAGCTGTGCCAGTTACTAGCTAAATGAATGGGGCAGCCATTTAAACTTTTCAAGCCTCTGTTGCCTCTTCTGCCAAATGGAGTATGCCTTTTCAGTGTTGAAGTAAGGACTAATTGAAGTAGTAAATATAGAATTGCTTAGCAAAGTTCATTCTATATGAATTATTGGGCAATATAAGTCTTATATGATTTAGAAAGAAATGTATAGTGACATTAACTTCTCTTCAACTTCCAATAGAAGCAAAATTGAGTAAGTTTACGAATAAGAAACTGATTTAAGCAAAACAAAGACAGCAAAAACGTATCTATTAGACCTCAGAGAATGGTCTGGTGGTGAGCATGGGGGAGACTTAGCCTTATGTGTGTGCTTTATAATTTATAAAATATTTTCATGTGCAGTTTCATCAGATACAATGTACAAAAAGAACAGTCTTACCTATTTTTACAAATGAAGAAATAAAAGTTCAGTGATTATAAGAGAATGTCCTAAAGACATATAGTAATTAGTACTTATTTAGGATTTGGACCTAGGTCTTCTGACTTATCTTCTAGTGTTTGTCTCCATTTTCCCCTCTTAATGGTCTAAATAAAAATACCTAGCCATTGAAGAAATATAAAAAATGTTCTATTATAATATTGTGGTTATATAGAATTACATTGTTGTTTCACTGAGTAAATAAGACTAACTCCACATGCTAAACATTTTTAAAATTTATTTTTAATCAATTTATCATGATTGTATTATTTTTATAAAATATAATACTTTGATATATGTATAATATGCACTGATTAAATCAAGCCAATTAACATTTATCACCTCACTTACTTGACATTTTTTTTGTGGTGATACATTTGTAATTTACTAATTTACTATCTACAAACCTTTAAAACACTTTCAATACCCAATATTCTTGTGTTGCCTTCCCATTTTAAAATGGAATTAGCTATGTTGGAAAGAAGAGGAAGTATGAAAATAATTGTGATGTACACAAAGTAATTTGATGGTTTTCCTCCCCATTCCTCAGGTCTTCTTTGCTGTGTTAATTGGAGCTTTCAGTATTGGACAGGCATCTCCCAACATTGAAGCACTTGCAAATGCAAGAGGAGCTGCTTATGAAGTCTTTAAGATAATTGATAATGTAAGTCTGAACTGGCCATTTATCCATTCACCTAAAATGTTTTCTAGTTAGGATTCAGTTTCATTATCACTTTTCTAGCTCTCCACAAAGGATCACTAACAAGCAGTTACTGTAACCTACTAATCTAAAATTTTATTCTGTTTAGAAACCAAGCATTGACAGCTTCTCGATGAGTGGGCACAAACCAGACAATATTAAGGGAAATTTGGAATTCAAAAATGTTCACTTCAGTTATCCATCTCGAAAAGAAGTTAAGGTATGGTGATAAATGACAAATCAATGATTGAACAACCTATTGGATGAAGAGCTTGTTAATTTCCTTAAGAAAATACAGAAAAAGAAAAATTCATGTATATTTTTAAACCTAGTATTGAATTGACTGATAGTTCATAGACTCTATAACTGTACACGCAAAATTGCCTTTAAGTTTATTTTTCACTCTTGGTAGATCTTGAAGGGCCTCAACCTGAAGGTGGAGAGTGGGCAGACAGTAGCCCTTGTTGGGAACAGTGGCTGTGGGAAAAGCACAACGGTCCAGCTGCTGCAGAGGCTCTATGACCCCACTGAGGGAGTGGTGAGCTAGATGCTATTTCCATTACAGATCACTCTGATGATGTGATTTCAACTACAAGTATTTGAGAATCACACTTATTTCTTATTTCAGATCAGTATTGACGGGCAGGACATTAGGACAATAAATGTAAGATACCTGCGGGAAATCATTGGTGTGGTGAGCCAGGAACCTGTGTTATTTGCCACCACAATAGCGGAAAACATTCGCTATGGTCGTGAAGATGTCACCATGGATGAGATTAAGAAAGCCGTCAAGGAAGCCAATGCTTATGACTTTATCATGAAACTGCCTCATGTGAGTTAGCCTGATCTTCATGGTTCCAAAGGTGTGAAGAATAGACAGTGGCCAAACAGTCCATAGGAAGTTAGGAATCTGCTGTATATTGGGAAAACCTCCTTACAAGGGAAATTGAAATTATTTTGAATCGTTAATCTCTAGCAGTATTAACTAGTAGTAGATATGTCTTTTAAAACTAGGGTTGGTTATTGCTAAGTTCTAATGAACTAGGCTATATTGCCTATGATGAGGCTTGGTTTCATGGGATTACTCCCTGATTTACAATGATTTAATACATGAACACCTTGTTCTTTTGCTAATTCCTCCTGTGTTTTTCCTGTTGTAGAAATTTGACACCCTGGTTGGAGAAAGGGGTGCTCAGCTGAGTGGGGGCCAGAAACAGAGAATCGCCATTGCCCGTGCCCTTGTCCGCAACCCTAAGATCCTCCTGCTGGATGAGGCCACGTCAGCCTTGGACACAGAAAGTGAAGCAGTGGTTCAGGTGGCTCTGGATAAGGTCTGTGAGCCCTGGTTCAAACCAACTTATTTATGAACGTAACATCCTGTTTTTAATTCTTCTTAATCTTGGCCTTTACTTGTATTTGTATTTATTATAATAAAATATCGTGTTAAACCATTATCAATTGACTATATGTTTACTGAAGTTAGAGATGATGGTCTATAGCTTTGATGGTTTTATAACATACAAAGCACTGGTGTTTGGTGAATATAATTGGAAAGAATAATTTTTTTTAACATGTAAGTATGAATGTATTCAAAACCAAATTTCTCCCTCTTTAGGCCAGAGAAGGCCGGACCACCATTGTGGTAGCTCACCGTTTGTCCACAGTTCGTAATGCTGATGTCATCGCTGGTTTTGATGATGGAGTCATAGTGGAGAAAGGAAATCATGATGAACTCATGAAAGAGAAAGGTGTTTACTTCAAACTTGTCACAATGCAGGTATGATTTGACTCTAGAACTTCCTTAAATTATGTCAATGATAAACTAATGTTGCTATGAGTAAAGCTATAAATAAATGTTATTTGATTTGATTCTCTTGAAAAGTAAGAAAAAATACTGGGGGATTTAGGATCAAGCCAGTGTTTAAAATGTTTTTTTTTTCCTTAAAAAGAGAGGAACTAAAGAATAAATACAGAAAAGCTTAAAGTGATTTAAAGGTGTACTATTCACTAATAATAACCACTAGCCACATATGATCATTGAACATTTAAATGTTGATTAACCTGAATTGAAATGTTGTAAGTAGACAACACACATCAGATTCTGAAGGCTTAGTACAAAATCAAAACAAAATAAAAACAAAAAAAGAATTGCAAAATATTTCGAATGTTTTATATTGATTGTGTATCAAAATGATAATATCAGATATGAGTATCTTGAATGTTATTAGGTTAAAAAAATAAATAATTCAAATTGATTTTATCTCTTTCTTTTCACATTTTTAAAATATAGCTACTGGAAAGTTTTAAATGAAAAATGTGGCTCATATTATTGCTCATACCATTTTTCTGTTGATTGGTCCAAAGCAAACTTGATTGATCTAAATTTCCACATAAAGGAAATGACCAGATAAGATGCATGGAAAGGATTTCACATTTCTGCATATTCACTAGAAATTCTTATTTAGTAGTTTTTATTTTTCCATATATTACACAGAAAGGAACAGCAGTTTAACTTCATTCATTCCTGTAACTACTTGAAGCAAATTACCATTTTTCTTGGTATCTGATGTTCATTGGTTAACTAATCCTAACCAATGTATGCATATTTCTTACTAATTTTAGACAGGAGGAAATGAAATTGAATTAGAAAATGAAGTTGGTGAATCCAAAATTGACATTGATGTCTTCCATATGCCTTCAAAAGATTCAGGATCCAGTATAATAAGAAGAAAATCAACTCTCAAGAGTGTCCAAGGACCACAAGGCCAAGACAAAAAAGAGGTTTCAGTCCCTGGCCTGCYGGCTCCCTTGCTTTTTGTCTTGTAGTGATGCAGAAACATCTCAGAAGGGTCGGGCAGAGGAAAGCTCTTTAACCTCATGGGGGTTTGGGGACACTATGTAGCCTTCTAAGGCAYACCCCTGTTGACCTACTTTCTCCAACTAGGCTCCACCTCCTATAGTTTCCACTACCTCTCAATAATGCCATCAGATGATTAATCCATCAGTGGTTTCATCCCTTGATGAGGTCAGAACTCTCATAATCTAATCACCCAGGAATGTACCTCTGAACACTGCTGCATGATCAGGCACCTAGCCTTTAACACATGAGCTTTTGGGGGAATTTCAGAGCCAAACAATAACRCTCCTAGTTGGGTGGGCTGGGGCTGAGGTAGGAATGGGAACAATAAATGATTTTCCAGCATTTTGTGATATTCTCCAGGGTGTTCCACGAACCAAAATGTCATCATTTTAAAATCAGTTTAGAATTTAAAATTAAGAACTTATAGAAAGATTTCTAGAATTAGAATTTATAATGTAAAGACTATAGTARATCTTTAAATATTAAAATTTCATTTCTGTTTATCCCTAAGTGTAAATATTATTGTTATTTTCTGAATGCCAGGTCAAGAGTTAAATGTTTGTGCAAACATCATTCATTTCTTAAAAAACAAAGGGATACAGTAACAGAATCTGTCAGCACTTTCTAGAAGCTAAATAGCCAGTAACTGATAAGGAAAAATAATGTATTCATTTAAGAAGTTTTGTGCATATGGAAGAACTGTACATCATAAAATCAATTATCATTTTTTTTAAACTAGCTTTTTGTGCTATTTTGTATTTTCTAGGATGAAAATGTACCTCTAGTTTCCTTTTGGAGGATTCTAAAGCTGAATTTAACTGAATGGCCTTATTTTGTGGTTGGTGTATTTTGTTCTATTATAAATGGAGGCCTGCAGCCAGCATTTTCAATAATATTATCAAGGATTATAGGGGTAAATGTTTACATCCATTTTGGTTTTATATTTACTTTCGAGTCCTAAATGAAGAATGAATGAAGCATGTGTGTTTGTATAAACTTACATAAGCCATCAAGAACACATCTCTTCACATGACACTAACCAGCTCAAAGATATAAAAATAGAATATGGTATGTGAGAGGAAAGTTGAGTTTGTAAATTCATATCTAGGGCCCTGTCAATTTCCATCTCAGGGGACTAGATCCCTGAGATAGTGAAACCAGTAACATGACTCTTTTGTACCATCAACATTGGGGTCTAAGCAAAATTCTAGAACTGTCATCTCACCAGTGTACAAAGGGGATTCCTCATGTATTTTTGAAACTGACTCAAGAATAAGCTCTTACTTAACCTGCACACTTGCCAGGACATGACCAGGCCTAGCATGCAGTCTCTGGAAGGTGTAATTTTCATCTCTGTTGCTAAAACTGAAAAAGAAATAGCTTCCTAAATATTGAGGTTGACGTATAATGGTTTCACCTGATTTAACAGTGATATTTTCAATAATAACGTTACAAACGAAGCAGGCATGCTCTGTATTTAGTGACAGATTTTCAATCATCAAGCTAAGGATACCCTTGCTATACTGCTGAAAACATTGTGGAGAAAGAAATTGAGCACCACAAGTAGCATAAGCCAACACTAACTTTTGATTTTAAAATAAAAAGTACATAACCATTCACGTCTATCCATGCATGACTAGCTTTTTTTCAGGTTGATATTCATGTATTAAGTACTCATTCAAGAAATATTTTTTCAGTGTTTGCTTTGTGCCAGCTATTTTTCTATGTGCTGTAAAATTGCCAACAAGAAAACAAAATTTCTGGTTTCATGGAGCATGTATTTTAGGACAGAGGCCAGCAAGCTTTTCTATAAAGGATACAAGAGTAAATGTTTTAGGCTTTGCAGGTCCTATGGATTCTCTTCCCTTGTGGCACAAATATGGAAACAAATGAACATGCCATATTCCACTAAAACTTTATATAAATATCTGCCCTGTGGCCTGTAGTTTGCTGACCCTGTTCTAATATATGTCTTGTAGGCAGAGTGATAGACAGAAAATGGTGTCATCAGAAAAAAAGAAATAGAAGTGGTTGACTTAGGAGTGGGTTCAGCTTTTGTTAACAAAAATTCACCTTATGAATTTAATGTTTTTCTCATGCCTGTTATAACAGTAAGCCTGAAGGTCAATGATGCAGAGCTGACACATAGCTCCTAGGTACTGGGGCAGGCAATCAGCCATCTGTCTTGTAAACAGTGGGCTTTGAGTCTGATTGCTTGGTCTATACATTTGGGTCATCTCTGGCTGGCTGGTTGTGTTATCTTGAGCAGGTTAATTGCAATCTCTCTGTGCTTTAGTTTCCCACTCTATAAAATGATGGTGATGATAAAGCAACTTGAAGAGATGTTTGTGGGACAARAGGAACAGTACACATGGATTTGCTAGAGTATTGTCTGGCACAAAGTCAGAATTCAGTGATTGTCAGTTGTTTATTTCTATTGAAATGACTAGGCAAGAAAAAATGATTTAATCTCTTCTATCTCCTCCTGTTTCACAAAGGATAAAGTTATCTGGGCTGGGTTAGGAATGTGACTCTCACAGAATGATTTTGACCTTGTGAAGGGAGAGGTGTGTTTTCTTTCCCTGTGGTTGATATTCTGTTTTCTTTGAGCCCAAGATGTTCTATTTGCCCTTCTAACCATTTCTGTAAAAGTTTCCATGTATGGTTCTCAGTCACCTGACTGCAGCTCTCTAGTGACTATCTAACTGGCCATATGACAAAGAATGCTAACARCAGCCTCCTTCCTTTCTGAAAGGCCAAATGCATGAGCATCTCTCTCTGGTGCACCAAAAGCACATCAACAGTTTCCTTCCAGATACCTCAGAATAGTTCAAAATGTTCACATAGCAAAACAACAAATTGCCATACGATATAGTTYCTCACCAAGGAAGAAAGAGTATTTGCATTGCTACTTTACATAGCCCAATGACACTTATTACTCCAAGAGGAAACCTGAGCAGACAAAATGTTGGATCAGTTGATGAGTGACAGACCTCTTCTTGGTTATTAAGGAGGGAAGAAGGCAGATACCTTTAAGGTCAATATTAGATAAAAGAGGCAACCCTGATTCCCAGAATGCAAAGGCTTTCCTGACCCCCAGAATAATGCCAGATGGGGAGTGGGGCAGACCTGGCATGATTTTTTCAGTGATTAAACTAATAGTCCTTTAAATATCTTCTCATAGGTATTTACAAAAAATAATGATCCTGAAATACAACGACAGAACAGTAACATATTTTCGCTGTTGTTTCTAATCCTAGGAATCGTTTCTTTTGTAACATTTTTCCTTCAGGTAAGTGTCTACACTTTTACTTTATTCATTTTGAGGGAATTTATGGCCATCTGTGTAATTTTCCTTTTAGTAGCATTGCTCCTCTGTTAACTTGGCTACTAACAGCTATATTGGTTTTCATCCTGTGGCTCTCTGGATTTCCTTCCCCTCCCTTCTGATTCCTCCCTCAGCTGCCAATATTGGCGTAATTAGAGGGATACAGTGTTTGATCTAATATCATGATTGGAAATGAAAGGTGAGAACTCAAAAATGGGCTTTGGTGAGACTCTAGATATAAGTTTGAATATAAGTATTGCCAGTGAATTTAAATACCCAAAGAAATGTCTTCCAGTATTCTAAAAGTCAACAACAAATAAGAACTTCCTAAACAAGCTACACTGTTTTGAAGAATTTATCAATCAACTTTTTTTAAAGGAAAAAGGACTCTTTAACTATGAAAGAATGTCAATCCTCAAGGGGCTGGCACTGTGGCTCAGTGGTAGCACACTCGCCTAGCAAGCGCAAGGCCCTGGGTTTGATCCTTAGCACCACCTAAAAACAAATAAAGGTATTGTGTCCAACTACAACTAAAAAATAAATATTAAAAAAAGAATGTCAATCCTCAAATAAAAACTGTAGGAAATATTTGTAGAGTCATATTTTAAAAAAATTTGTAGTTATAGGTCGACAGAATGCCTCTATTTGTTTATTTTTATTAGTGTTAAGGATTGAACCCAATGCTTCACACATGCTAAGCAAAGTGCTCTGCCACTGAGCTACAGCCTCAGACCCTAGAGTCAGATTTTACAACTTGTGAATCATTTGGCAGAAATGAAATTTTTAAAGGCATCAAGTGGCTCTACAAGTTTAGTATGCTAAGGCAATATGGGTTTTGGTGTTAGACATAGGTTGTTTTTTTTTTTTTTTGGTACCAGGGATTGAACTCCAGGGGCACTTGACCACTGAACCACATCCCTATCCTCCTATTTTGTATTTTTTAAATTTAGAGATAAGTTTCACTGAATTGCTTAGTGCCTCACTGTTGCTAAGGCTGGCTTTGAACTCGCGATCCTTCTGTCTCAGCCTCCCGAGCTGCTGGGATTACAGGTGTGTGCCACTGTTCTTGGCTATGCTAGGTTTGAGTACCAGTTGCACTAGTACCCAATTTTGAGTCCTTAGCAAAATGAGAAATTTATTATTATTAKTAGTAGTAGTAGTATATTGGGGATTAAACCAGGGGCACTTARCCACTGAGCCACATCCTCATATTTGATCCTCATATTTGATTTAGCAACAGGGTCTCACTGAGTTGCTTAGAGCCTTGCTAAGTTGCTGAGGCTGGCTTTGAACTCACAATCCTCCTGCCTCAGCCTCCTGAGCCACTGGGATTATAAGCATGTGCCACAAGCACCTGGGCAAATAAATACTTTAACTGTCTAAGCCTCAGTGTTCTATCTGTATGTAGCACAGGGGTAATGTTGCCTCTTGGTGACTATGAGAGTTCSTGTGCCCAAGTGTGCAGGCCTGGGTGAGGCCTTAGTAAATAACAATCACTTATATAAATGAGTGGCATGTTCTTATTCTTCACAGGGCTTCACATTTGGCAAAGCTGGAGAGATCCTCACCAAGAGACTCCGATACATGGTTTTCAGGTCCATGCTGAGACAGGTATGTTGTTAAGGGGTGAGCTGGCATGTGGGACTCCTCTTTTGTACTTGGGAACTCAGGAATGGGAGCTCAGCCAGGCTGCTCAGAATGCTCCTGTGTAGGTCATCCTTCAGTCTCCTCTCAGAGGTGTCTTTAAACCATCCCCTAGGTCAATTAGAGGCCCTAGTGTCTTTTGGATGTATATAGGTGGGTACAAGGAACTGCAGTTGAGACAGATGTCGTTTCCTGAGTATTTTCACCTCCAGCTTTTTGTCTGAGTAGTTGTAGGCAGTGTCAGTGGAAGTGACCTTCAATGCCCCCATTCCTTTCCTCCCTTTCTTTCCTTCTTTCTCTTGGGAAACCTAGGATACTCTGTCATGTTTTTTTCCTGCCCTTTTTCCCCATCCTTTCAACAAATCCAAATTCATCCACATGGCCCATTCCTTACTGCCAGTTCCTTTGCTGTGGCTAGACTGATACAGCACTTCAAACTGCAGCATTGCCATCTAGTAAGGACTCAATGGACTGCCTTTCTTTTCTCACACCTTCAAGACCCTTGCAACAGACACTCTGAATGTGTTCCTTAGAAAGGGAAATAAAGGATTTTAGGAATGTAACCTATAGCAGCCTGGTTGAAAGGAATAAGTTTATTTAATAATCAGGAAATTTTTATATGTACCTTAAAACGTTCCTTTTTAAAATCATTAATCACTTGCCATTGAATAAAATGATGCTCTAGAAACCTGCTCCAGACACGCCAGGGCTACTTGAACCCTGGTTGAGAAGCATCTGTGGGCTGTGCTAGGATTTCTAGAGGACACACAGGTTTCCACCTGTCTTTGATTTTGTAGTCCTTTCCCACTCTTCCTATCACCACCTAAAAAGACATATTTTTGAAAGTTTCTAGCTACTGATGGACAGATCCAGGACTGAGTCTGATTAATTAGAGAGCACTATATGGTGGGGAACTCTATCTTTGGACCCTCTAGTAAAACCATAGTTATAACATAGATTTCACTTAGGCTGGTCTTGGTCCAGGGCCAAATGTCTCATTACCCCATCAGCCTCCAGGCCCAGTCCCAGGTCCATAATACTTTGAGAGCTGAGCTGAGGGTTTGTATAATGCCTTCTCCATGAATTAAGAAGAACAAACCCATTAGAGCCTTGTGCTTATAAGACATCATACCAAGTATTCTAAGTCATTCAATTTGAATGGTTCCTGTYTTCAAGGAAGTTACATTACCATGGGGAGAAACTTGAATACTTAAGAACACTAAAAGGCAGATTGATATTTGCTGTAATGAATTATAACACTCCATCTTTTCTTGAACATTTTAGATAAAAATGATAATTACTATTTTAATGCAGATCACCACTTCAGTAACCATAGTTATTTATGGTGGACATAAGTTCTTTAAACTCATTTTTTAAGTGGTTTACAAAGAAAATTCCATTTGATACTGAATGTCACATTTTAATTTAGATTTGTTTTGTTGATTTGTTTTAACCCTGTTTATTTATTTCACCCTGAACTACAGTTATCTAACTGCATGTTCAACTTCTCTATTTGGAGGTCTAATAAATGTTTCCAATGTTAATATTTTAGACATGAACTCTTTTTTTTTTTTAAGTACCAGGGATTGAACACAGGGGTACTTAACCACTGAGCAACTTCCCAGCTCATTTTTTAAATTTTTTATTTTGAGAAAGGGGTATCACTAAGTTGCTCAGGGCCTCACTAAGTTCCTGAGATGGGCTTTGAACTTGCCATCCTCCTTCCTCACTGCCCCCAGCTCAACCTTTATAGGCTTACCCCTTACCTACTCTTTGCCCATGTCCATGAGTGATGGCACCCTTCTACCAGTTGATCAGGGGTAAAAACCATGGTGACTCCTCTTTCTGTGTTTACTATTGCAATAGCTTCCTAGCTGGTCTCATTGCCTCTCTCTGTATCCCAATCCAGTAGGTTCACCTCACAACAGCCAGAGCCATTTTTCTAAAAACTAAGTCAAACCATCTCTCTCTTCCTAAAACCTGCTGAAAGTGACCATTCCTCTCTGGATGAAGTATGGAATTTTGTAGTTGCCTAAAAGGCCATACATGATGTCCCCTCCCCACTCTCAGGCCTCATCTCCTACACCTTAACCCTTGACCAGCACTCAGTCTGCTCCCCACACAGTGCTCACTGTGTGTGTGTGTGTAGGAAGAGAAGATGGGAGGAAGCCATCTCTCTGTCCAGAGGAACAGGCAGAACTCTGTCCAGAGGAAGAGGCAGCTTTTTCAGATTAACAAGTGACTTCTTAGGTTACAAGCACCCTTTAAAGCTTTGTTGCTAGTATTTGGACAGGTCAAGTGTAGTTGCACCTCAGATCCTTTGCATGTGCCAGTTCCTTCTTCTTGGATATGCTCATCCCTTCTTACACTTAGTTCTATGCTCCAATCTCACCTTAGAAAGGCCTTCTCTGTTTCTACACCAGTTTCTAAAATAGCACCTTCCCTTATTTCTTTGTCCTTACCCACCTCCGTTTTTCTTCACAGCGTGTATTACCTCCTGAGATGGCATAAATGTATTTGCACCCTCTAGCTCCAGAACTTGAGCTTTAGGAGAGCAGCAATTTTGTTGTTAGTGCTCACTGTTTTGTCCAATACTTCAAATTGTGATTGGGACCAAGCAGGCATTCAGACTTTTTCTGATGAATGAAATGATTCTTTTATGTATTAGTATATAAATCCCTTTCTTGTCTATTGAATGTCAGAGGGGATATAATTGATCAACAAAATTGACCTTATCACTTTCCTCTTGGAGCCAAGAGTCTCACAAAACAGGACTTTGATGTGATTATGATGAAATCTCTTCTGTGCCACAGGAYGTGAGCTGGTTTGATGACCCTAAAAACACCACTGGAGCATTGACAACCAGGCTTGCCAATGATGCTGCTCAAGTGAAAGGGGTATGTGACTCCTTTTGGTTTTGTCATAAGTGGTCATTTGAACCTCAGCATGAAATTGGTTTTCTTATTTTAATGTTAATTATTATCATCATTGTGAAGGAAATGTTAAATAGACACAAATCCACAAATAAATGTTTTAGAACAAAAATGTTAACTATTTAAACATTAAATGCTGTTTAGTGTCTAGATAACTTRTAAGCTATCTTTTGTTATTGCTGTTATATTCATACTCTTAACAAGATATATGTAGAAGAATGGTTATTTAGAAAAGAAGTATTTTCACTGTATCATTCAGGACCAGTCTGTTTTAGTGCTCAATTAACAGAAAATTGTAGTTGCTACTGAAAAAATTATGTGTATAGTTGCTACTGGAAAGTTTAGGGACATTACAGTTCTTAAAATGAGCAATAAAATATGTTTTAAAAATAGGTTGAATAAAATGAAAAGCACTTGAAAAAATTAAAGCAAGGTGGAAGGAATAACTTCAAACTGCTGAACCATCAGGTTTTGATTTTTAGCAGAAGTGACAAAATTTTTTCTATAAATTTTTATGGCAAAAATCTATAAGCTGATGTAGAATTTGAAAAAAAAAATGTGATCTCTGTTGTGTCTCCCCCAACCTTGGGTGTTATAGTCTTTATCCTTTATTCTTCCTGTAAGGCAGTACTATCTTAGCAATTATCCTATCTAATAGATATTTTTGGAAGAATAAATTATATTTGGAATGAGAGAGATGTATAATTAYAAGTCAGATCTTTAAAAATGCTATTTTAATACAGACATCTTTGTTGAAAGCAAACAAACCAACAAAAATCAAGATTTGGATCCAGTTATATAGAACCTAACCAAACAAAATGTACACTGCTTGAAATAACTTTGAACCTTCAGAAACAGATAATGATCTTACCTTATGCCAGTGTCCATTGTTAAAAAGTACAGTGGAGAAATGGAAGCAGCATGGGCTGGTAGGGGCTGGCTGGTTGCCAGGGAGGGAAAGACTCAGTGATGATATGGGCAAGAGGCCTGAAGGAAGGAAAGATGCCATCCTTGTAGGTGTTTGGAGGGGAACCTCTAATCAGAAGGTCAGCAAGGGCAGAGGCATTGAGCACCAAGCATTCCTCAAACATTCCTGAAGTAGTAAGGGTGACAGAGCAACTAGACTAAAGTAAGTGAAAGAACAAGTCTTAATAGGAAATGCTTCATCGTCTTATGAGTTTATCAGCAGTATTTGAGATCCTAGGTTGTTCCTGTCTTAAAGGAGGAACCTTGGTTTCCTTTCTAGGACATTGCTTTTTTCTCCCACTGGCCACTGTCTCCCACTGTTCATTGCTATTTTGTCTTTATAGCCCTGACCTCAGTGCCCAGGGTTTGCTATCTGCAGAGGCTCTTTCATCCAGTCTCATAGCTTTAAAAACCACCATTGTACTGGAAAATCACCAATATTTGTTTGCAGATGACTTCTCTGCTAAGTTCCAGACATAGAAAATCCACCTGTCTCCCTGACATGTGCACATGGTTGTCTGATGTCTCATGTCTGATCATGGACTGGCCATTCCCCACTCAGAGCTCTCAATTCTCCTTCAATCCACTCCTCCAACAAATTTCCCAATTTCATTAAAAACCAATTCTATTTTTTTCAGTYGTGTAGGTCCAAAGTGTTAGAGTCATTCTTAAATCCCCTTTCTCTCAGATCCCTCATAAAATCCAACTAACAATTTTTATAGGCTGAACCTTTTTTAAAAATCCAGAATTTGTCACATTTTACCACCATTCATATGACCACACTAATCTAAGACACTATCACCCCTGTCCTGTATTATTGTAATAGACTCTATACCTCTATTCCTGTCTCCTTCTACACATTCATATAGCAGCCAGAGTACTAGTCTAGTGTTTATATCAAATAGCTGTTAGACAAATCTGGTGGAATTGATGGGAGTTTTGAAGGAGTCTATCACAGGAGTTAGTATGGAGAGAAGCTTTAATCAATGTACCTGCTCATTTTTGGAGTTGGGAAAGATTATTCAGTCACAGAGATCTTAGTGGCCATGCTGGATATAACTCCATTATAATTTTTTCCCAAGATCAGCCTCACTTGGGCAGAAAAAAAATGTTTAGGAATGGAATTGGGCCCTTTCCAGAGAAAGCAGATCAGAGAGCCAGAGAAAGGTTTGCAATGAGTTGAGGGTACAGTATTTTCAGGGTAGAAGAGATGGGAGGATTGAATCATCTAGCAAGGACTGAGTTGACTTTGTAGGCCGACATCTGGTTTGAGGCTTGGCAATCACCACACACTACTGAGAGTCATGCTTCAAGCTCCCTCTGGTATTCAAACTGAAGACTTTGATGCTTTCTTAGTATAAATTAAATTCTATAGCTTTCAACTCTGTGTATATTTTTTACAAATCAAATCTAGGTTAAATTAAGCATAATAAGCATTTCAGATAGGCCTCAATATTTTTGAATATCCTTAATAACAAATAATAGTCTTAAATTATAAGTAGTACTGTACCTAATTTTGGAAATTTCTACCATCCAGTTTAATATAAATGTCAGAGTTTATCTTGCTAATTTTCAGAGCTTGCTTTAGAGATCATAGTTTAATTGATTAAGACTTTCTTGGTATTAAAAATTCAGAAGAGAGAAATATGTTATCACAGTCTGGAGTTTTGATCATCCACTTTCAGTTTATTCAGAAGTCATGGATAATCCTCATTTTAGAAACTCAATAAAGTTGTTACAAGTAAAATTTTATTTTTGTTTTATAACTGAGAAGATGATTAATATATTTTCGTGAAAGTGAATTGTTACAGTTCTTAAGAATATAGAAGTGTGGATTTTAAAGTTAATATAAAAATGTGTCTCTAATTTGTTTTTTAGGCTATAGGCTCCAGGCTTTCTGTAATTACCCAGAATATAGCAAATCTTGGGACAGGAATTATCATATCCTTAATCTATGGCTGGCAGTTAACACTTCTACTCTTAGCAATTGTACCCATCATTGCAATAGCAGGAGTTGTTGAGATGAAAATGTTGTCTGGACAAGCACTAAAAGATAAGAAAGAACTAGAAGGTTCTGGAAAGGTGAGTCAAACAAAATACAATTGCTTACCTAAGTAGAGAAAAATATTTTAATCAGTGTTGTTTTGTTAGTCYCTACTACTTATTATGTTCTGAGTGTTTTATCACCATTCCCCAGAGCAATATATTTTTGACATTTATTCTGCAGATTAGAAACTGAAGTAAAGTAGCAAACGTGGCCTTAGGCTCAGACTGACACTGCTTCTTACAGGCTTTTTTGGTTTCAAGCTCCTGTCTTCACACTCCTCTCTTCCTTCCCCTCCCCTCCTTACTTCCTTCAATCCCCACCCCCTTTCCTTCCTCCACATCTCTTTTTTTTCTCTCTCTCTTTCTTTTAAGCAAGCTTAAATCTCCTTTATTGAGAAAAGTAGGACCTTTTTATTATGTCTGATGGGAAARGTTCAATATGGAAACATCCTGGGGGCTTTTTTCTATCTGACTTAAATGATCACCACTGTCCCTCTTATCATTCCTCCTCCTTTCATCCTACTTATGCTTCTCCTTCCCTGAATACTTGTTTTTCTGCATGTTTSTTTATTCTTTTCTCATTATTTAACAAATGCTTATGTGACATTACTGCATTTCCTGGCAAATGCTTTACTCTTCATAGTGACCTTGTGCAGGAAGTCCTAGTGTCATCTCCTTTTCCAGGTGAAGCTTCCGGCAGTGGTCCCCTGTGCCTTAGAGAACTGAGGATTCTTAGGGTCAGGGTTCAAATTCAGGTACCTGTGCTCCTGTTCTAGATGGCAGAAGACAATCTGATGTCATAAGATCTGGATCATTATAGAAATGAGGGGTCAGAACAGGGCAGAGTCCCAAAACTGGGACTAATGTCTAGATAGGAGTATATCTACCAATGGATATTCCAGACTCTCCAGAGTCAGGGCAGGAATCTAGTTAGTTTATGGTGGGTCTGGCTCTCAGGCACAGGAGTCCTTTGTCTGTGGACCAGGGCCCTCACAAGTGTGTGATGTGACAGGTCCTGAAGGATGTTCCTTGTCACAGGCACATTGTTCTCTGCCTCCTGCATTTCCCAGATTCTGCCTCATCTCCAGGAAACTCCACTGGGCCAGCTTTGGTGCTTCTCCCAGTGTCTGTGGGGAAAAAAACCTGCTGTGAGATGTCTGGCAGGCTTTTAGCCAGATGGTGCTGCTCCCAGGGTTCCTAGTTTGGTCTAACCTGGATAACACTGGACCAGTCTGGGGAAGTCCTATGCCAATGACTTCATGTAATAATGTATCTTGTGTTTCTTTTCTCCTATGGTGTTGACTCTTTATTTGAATAAAAGCTGGAAAAATCTAGAGCAAAATGTCAACAAAAAAGTCTTTAATAATGTCATTATTTATTGAGGTGTGTGAAATCTTAGAATGGGAATCTTAGACTGTTTATGAAAGAAGAAGACAGATCCTAAGTTAAATCATTGCAAACCAAGGTCAGCACCTTTGAGGTGGTGCATCAGAGATGAGACTCTTGGAGTCCTGTAGAAGGGCTGAAGAAAGAGTGCAGGTGGAAATGGTATGTGTGGATATGGTAGATTTTCTAAGTCAGACTGTGAGAGATTCTCTAATCCAGTGGGGGCTCCGAAGAGGGACAAAGGCAGATAGCGAAAGTGGTGGTTGCTGCACCAATCAGTTCTCATAATATTGAAAGTCAACCCCATCTGATCCTAATTCTCAGGTTACAATTTATTGAATATTTATTAAAAATGGGCTTTATACGAAGAGCTCTATATATGTTTGCTCATTTCATGCTCTCAGTAGCCCTGCTGAGTTAYGCCTGTTGGAAGAGATCAAATATCTTTCCCAAAGTCGCAAATCAAACTTCAAATCAATTTTCCTAACTGATCTTCTTCAATTCTTGTCCACCTATAGTCTTTATTATTCTCAAAATCAGTATACTAATCTCTTAAAAATACAAATCAGATCATGCTAACTCCTATTTAAAACTCTCTAATGGCTTCTAATCGCATTGGAATAAAATTCAATCTTACCCTGTCTGTAAAACCCTGCAGGATCTGATGACCTCTATAATCTTGTCCTTTACTATACTCTCCTATGTCATGCTGCTCTGGTCTCATGGGTCTTTTTGTAACTCTTAGACCACTCTAGTCTGGTTCCCACAGATGTGGCTTCTTCCTGTACATATTCAACTCTCAGATGTAGTACCTTTACTGAGAGGCCTTTCCTGACATCTGAATTAATTCATGACATTTCTCAGCCCTTAATGTTGCTTTCCTGTTTCTTTGTTGATTAATGGTTTATCTTCCCTAATAAAACAAAAGCTACTTAGGGGCCTGGACTACCTCTGTGAATTTGCCCTGAAGCAGATGGGCAAGCTTGCAGGTCTGTGGGAGGCCAGGGCTTGTTCATTACTGTGTGAGGTCAGGGCCTGCTCCTATTATCTCTGTGATGTCAGAGACTGTTCATAACCTCCTCTAAGTTGGTGATCTGTGATTTCTAGAGTTCTAGCACATTAATATAGACTAAGAACATTTCTATAAAATAGATGCATTTTCCTTTTCAACATTAAAAGCCACAATCAAACTTCATTTTATTTGAAGGTAGGAAGACAAAGGTGAGGAGGTTTGCTTGTGTTTTTCTTTCTAGAAGCATATTTGCATTTTCCTTTCTCCAAAAAGTATCAACTACATGATGCTTTATGAGGGAAACAGTGCCATTTACTTCTCCTTGAACTGAAGTTCTYTTTTCTTCTGGTGATTCCTGAGACTTTGTTTGAAACTCTGGGAATAAAGGAAGCCTTGAGGATGCAGGATGCTAATTAAGGTTCTTCCTAATTGCTTCATTGTGCATTAAGATGAAGTGATTACATTGTGAAGTGATTATATTGTTCTCACTATGCAAGGTCTGTCCATCAAACTCTCTCTCTTATTGAGTTTTATATATACTGAAAAGCGACATTTATACTCTAGCCACAGACACTCTTGCCTTAAACACTACACACAAAATATTTCTTAAAATTTTTACATTAAAATTTACAGTAAAATCTGCTTTTCAGCATACATTGCTGTAATTTGTAGAATGTTATTACTAATCCAGAAAACCTCTTCTGTTTGTTTGAACCCTTATAATTAAAAATATTTCTAATGTGTCTGAACAAGGATTGCCTTTGGGGAGTTTGAAGGTGAATTTTTCCTCTAATTTCATGCTTTCTGTATTTTTAGGTTCTTCTAAAATGAGTGTACATTATTGTTTAAATCTGTAAAAGAAGCTTATAAAAAAATTAAATCTGCAAATTTTCTTCCTAAGTAGCTTTTGGTAAACATACTTCAGTCTTTGCCTTACTGAAAGAGAGAATATTTTTGATTTTATTTTAAATAAGATTTTGTTCTTAAGAATATGTTATTAACTTTTTTCTTTGAATAGCTTTTTGTACCAGCCTTCAAAAACTGACTTAATGTCTTGTGAAATATTTGCTGTTATCTTTTAAGTTAGATAATTGGTGTAGGATTCAGTGAGGAATAAGTGGGACTTCATGTTTACAACGTTTCAGTTGTAAATCACTGTAAATTAATGCATTGCCTTTTTTAGAATCAGCTGACCAGTAAAAAGGTCAGCGAGAGGAAGAACATCTTAAATAGTTGAGTGACTATCTTAGTGACCTATTATATTTGAGTTTGAGGAATTGAGAGACCCTCTCATCTACTCCCTCACTTTACAGATGAAGAAAAGGARATGGGGTGGCTCAAGGTCCCATGGTGACAAAGACTGAAATCTGATTTAGTATACCAGTGTTTCTTGCATTCTCCACATCCCTTTACCCAGACTCCAAAAGGTAGCAAAGGATGTCCACGCCCTAATAGCTTTTCAAGAAGTAACATGTAATTAGAACATAACCAAATGATAGAAACTCTCTGGAAAAAACTGGCCATATGTGCCATGTTCCTTAAAAAAACAGTGTATTCCCTTTGACCCAGTAATCTCATTTTTAAGAACTTTTCCTAAGAAAACCATTCAATATGGGCAAGTGTTTAGGTACAAGGACATTTATCACAACAGTTTTAATAACAAAACAATTGAAAACATTGTACAACAATAAAAGAATGCCTGACAGGAATATTAAGTGGCCATTAAAATCCCATTATTAATGTATATTTAATGACCCTGGAAAATATTCTTAATATTTGTTAAGGCAAAAAATAATGGTGTAAAAAATAATAATGGTGAATAAGCAAGTCTAGAATTCAATCCCTAATTTGTTAAAGATGCATATGCTTAAGGGGAAAAATTACAATACATAAGCTAATGTGTAAAATACACCAATATGTAACTTTTTARTACATTCCTTGACTTTTCAACATTTTCTGAAAATTCTTGAGTTGTTACAAAGAGAAAAATATAAATGTACATTTATATTTTTAAAATATTTAAAGTATATAAAATAACTGTGAACTTAAATGTGACCATCATAAAAGAAAGAGTCCTACAAGAGGTGTGAAATACCAAGTTCTTGGGTTAATTTTGTAAAACTGTGTAATGCTGTGTGGCTTTAGGCAAGTGCCTTAGTCACTTTAAAGTCTTGGCTTCTCTTTCTATAAAGAAGGTAAGATTGAATCAGTTTCTGTCTCTTCCAAATCTGAAACTTTTGTATAAATTACTCAGTATCCTTTTCCATAAAAAGATGTTTATAGGTAAACACTAAATGATAAAAAATAATATAGTATCATAAAATTAATTTTATTAACCTGCTTTATAGAATTCAAATTAATTGCCCCTGTTTGCCCTTGTACCTCTTAATGATGGGTGATATCTGTTACAGATCGCTACTGAAGCAATAGAAAACTTCCGCACTGTTGTTTCTTTGACTCAGGAGCAGAAGTTTGAGAATATGTATGCACAGAGTTTGCATATACCATACAGGTAATAACCACTGAAGGGTTGGAGGGATGTGTGAGGAGCATTTAATCATCAGATTTGTTTTCACAAAGTATTTCWTTGGCCAGAAGGTTGGCCTCAAGTAGAGAAAGTACCAGAAAGGAARCACCTGTATCCAGGAGGTAATGATCAGAAACAAATTAAGGCAGGGGCATCTCTTCGGTAGAACCTCTCAGGGTGGTATTTAACAGATGTGAGGGGAGAGTAACAGGGCATTGAGGAATGGCTCTCTGATGCCCAGTTAGACGATGACCCTATTATTGCTTTGTTGGGGATGAAAGCGCTTTAGGTCACATGAAATTCAAAGTGTCTATGGGACACCAAGGAGTGGTGCTTCCTGAGTATATTTTTCATTCCTTTCTTTATTTCTCCCCTAATGGAAGCCTTCTGTCCCTCCTTTAACATGGGCATTCCAGAAAAGGCCCAACCTCTCTGAGTCTCAGTTTTTTTCTCTACTAAGAGGAGAGAGAGCTGGATTGTATTGATAGGTTTTCAAACTTTTTTGTTTTTCAGACCCTTTGTCTCTGAAAAGGTTTGTGTGTTTTCTTTCAGAAGTGGAAGCTAAAGAGAGTGTGGGGGAAGCACTAATAAAAAAGAAAGGTGATCTCATGAAAATAGAAAGGAGACCAATAAAGTCTCCAATATGACAAAGATAAAAGCAAAATTGATCATGGTTGAAAAAGGAGTTAGGAAGCCCAGAGGACTGCCCACTCACCAACCTGCTCCTACCCACACCTCTACATCACCCAGTTCTGTGTCACTCAGAAAAATCCTAGAATGTTAATTCCCTTGTAAAATCTTCTCTAACACCCCCAGAGTAAAGTGATGCTTCTTTCTTCCCATATTATTCATAAGGTACCTCTATTACATAAGTACTTATCTAGCTCAACTCCTAGGTCCCCAAAGGCAGTGCCATGCCTATGCCTCTGTGTTACCCAACTCCTAGGTCCCCAAAGGCAGTGCCATGCCTCTGTGTTACCCAGCCTGGTTCCTGCAGCTTATAGATGTTGGGTAAATATGTGTGGAATGAATATTCACTATAGAGGACACATTGGTTCTGTGTCCAGTAGTTAAAATAGGGAGAGGGAACTTTCAACTGAGTCCCTAGCAGGCTTTTCACAGAGTTCATAGGCTTAGTTTATTTTTACTTCAACATATTGAGGTGTAGTTAAACCTTCCATAAAGATGAAGACATTGACAGAATGGCAGCCATCAAGAATACAAACAATAATAAATGCTGGAGAGAATGTGGAGGAAAAGGAACACTTTTACACTGTTTGTGGGATTGTAAATTAGTACAATCATTATGGAAATTGGTATGAAGGCTGGTCAAAAGATTAGGCATAGAACCACAATGTGACTTTGCTATTCCACTCCAAGGTATTTATCCTAAAGATTAAAGTCATCATACTATAGTGAAACATGCTTACGTGTTCATAGCAGCACAATTCATAATTGCCAAACTATGGAACCTGCCTGGGTGTCCATCAACAAAGACAATATGATACACACACACACACACACACACACACACACACACACACACACACCATGGAGTTTTACTCAGTCATAAAGAAAAAAATTATAAATTAAATCATGCAGAAAAACAGACGGAATTTGAGATTATATTAAGCAAAACAAGCCAAACTCAGAAGGTCAAGGGTCTTTTATTTTCTCTCATTGTAGAAGCTAGAGAAGAAAAAGGAAAAGAAAGATGGTGAGCTTAAGGGAATCTTCATGAAAATCAAAGGGGGATTAGTGGAATACAGGAAGGGGACCAGGGGATGAGAGTTAGGAAGGGGGTGGGGAAGTGCTGGGGAATAATACTGGCCAAATCATATTGTTATATTGTGTGTGTATGCAAATGTAACAACAAATCCCACTGTTACGTAAAACTGTACCACCAATACAATTTAAAAAATAATAAAAATAACTGCACCAATAAAATAATGTGAGGGAAGAAAAAAAGATGAAGACCCTGAGACTTAGAGATAAGTTAGTTTCCTAAACTCATGCAACTAGCAAGTAAAATGAGGATCAAACTTAATTATTTTGAAATTAAATCCATTTTTATTCGTCACCCCATTGCCCACCCATCAAAAGTTATATTTTAAGGTCTGAAATGAAAGTCAATTAAGTTTTCAAATATCTCCTTTTCAGAAACTCTTTGAGGAAAGCACACATCTTTGGAATCACATTTTCCTTCACCCAGGCAATGATGTATTTTTCCTATGCTGCTTGTTTCCGGTTTGGTGCCTTCTTGGTAGAAAGGGGAGACATGGAATTTGAAAATGTTCTGTTGTAAGTATTGAGCTAATATTGGAAGTTTAACTCTGCAGGTAAATCTGGGGTAAACATACTTTGTGTCTAGGCAGAAAGCTCTATGGTGAACCTGCAGGAAACCTTTTGGTGATTGAGAAAGTGGCCTTTTGCCTCAGAGTCTCCTCCATGTGTTCCTTTGAAGAACCTGGTTTTATTAGGAATTTTTCTTCCCAGTGCTGACACACATAGCCTGACCTTTCTGAATCTGTGATGTGGTAGAGTGAATCAATGCAGAAGTCTCAAGAAGGCCTTGGTTTGGGCAGAAACTTAACCCTGTGCAAGGTTCCTTTTAAACAGTTTTCCAAAAGAGCAGCTCATGAATGAAAGTACTCAAACTTGGGAGATTCCAGGATAAATTTGCATTTAAATTTCCACTTTCTAATCTGTATGTCCGACAAATGATATGCAGGTGCTATTTGTATTTGTAACCTAAAAATCAAAATCGGATATCATTGGTATTGGGGATTCTTTCTGAGCTTCTAGACTGGTGAAGCTAAGACACTGCCCTTTAACAGCACACATAATTAATAGTAATGAAGTTTTACGTTGAACATAGAATACATCAGCCTGATAATATAATGTGTTATTATAGCATTTCTGTCCTATTTAGGCATTGACTTGTTTATGTATTATAGTTAATTCAGAATGAGCTTAACAGAACATTTAAAATTTCCATTTTCTAATATGTATGCCTGACAAATGATATGCAGGTGCTGTTTGCCTTTGGATCAGATAATTATTCGATTATATTGCTTTACTCTGAGCCTTTGAATTGGTTAAAGTTCCTGACACTTGGGCATTTAAGTTTGAAAAACCAATTTTCCAAGTAAGTAAATGAAAGGGGAGATCTTGCTAAAAACCAGCCCATTTGGAAAAGATCCTACAGGTTTCAGTGATAGCAAGGACAAAATTAATCATCTGTGTGATTTATTTGGGCTACTTTTAAAAAGACACATTGATGAACATTTCCAGAGGAGAGCAGTAAAAGGAGTTATCAAAGAAGTGAAGGACCTTTTCAAAACTATTTTAAATGCTGTGTTGTGGAAAAGAAAGTAAATTTTCCTGCAGTTTWAAAAAAAATTTTAAACAATAGACTTAATCAAACATACTACTTCCTAAAATAGAGGATGGAAGCCAATTTAGGGGAAATAGTCAGGCACAAACAGTGAGAACCAAATTCAATGCCTCTAAGGTCATTYCAACCTCACGTGGCTGCGATTCCCATGTCACACATTAGGAAGCAGATGTATCGTGAAAGCAGCATGATTTCAGGTATATGAGGACCTTTTTCTTTGTTTCATAGCTCACAGGTTTTCTAAGAATCTGATGTCCTTTCAGCAATACTAACTACATTCCTTGTCGATTGCCACAATAATGCTATGTAACAACTAGCCTCTAAACCCCAGTGACATAGAATGACATTTATATTGCCCGTAAATCTGGGGGTCAGTTCGGCTGATTTGGGTTGGGTATAGTGGATTTTATCTGGGCTCACTCATCTCTCTGCAACAAGCAATGAGAGAGAGAGAACACAAACATGAGAACAAAGTACCAAGGCCCCGAGGCACAGGCCTGGTACTGTCAACAATGACTTCCACCATCCTGTGGCCAAAGTACGTCACAAGGCCAACCCAGATTCAGAGAGTAGGAAAACAAATCCACTTCTTAAATGGAAGTGCGGCTTAGGTCACACTATAAGAAGATAAAGAGAGAGAGAGAGAGAGAGAGAGAGAGAGAGAGAGAGAGAGAGAGATATGATAAAAAGGACTGTTTCGCAATCACTCACGCTGACATGAACTTATAAGTGTTTGTTTTATTTTTTAACTTCTGTTTCATAATTATTTGAGTTGGCACTCCCTGGTCAGAGAGGGGCAGTTTACTAGCATTGCAGCCTTCCCCATGTGACATGTTCTGCCTTTTGTTCTCCAGGGTATTTTCAGCTATTGTCTTTGGTGCCATGGCTGTTGGGCAGGTCAGTTCATTTGCTCCTGACTATACCAAAGCCAAAGTGTCAGCATCCCATATCATCATGATCATTGAGAAAATCCCAGCGATTGACAGCTATAGCACGGAAGGCCTAAAGCCAGTGAGTTTGCTCTTTCAAATATACAATTTGTTCCTAACTCCTGAATGAAAATATCCAGAGGAAATTTAATAAAATTTGGGCTTTTTTGTATGCTAGTGATAATACAAGGTTTTATAGATCATTGGTTTATTTTAATAAATGCTAATAATAAATCTTAACATTTATTTGTTAATAAATCTTAACAAATTACAGGGAGATGAGAATACTGCCAACTTTATAAGCAAATCCTACTAATGAGGTGGGTTTTTTTTATATACACATTATTTGGGGGAACAGATTTGAGTTACATATTTGTGTCATACATTTGTATTGTGTTAACAATTCCTGCTATACAAGCCTTGACTCTTTTAAATTTTATTTATTAAATTCTAGCAGTTTGAGATGAAGCTTAACTGTCATAGTTGTTCACTCTTTTCTGACACCTGGTGATAGAGTAAGTTAGTTTTACCCTGTGTTTTTATGACTGAGGCCATCAAATTTACTGTTGTTCTTCCCATTTTAGCCTATGCTGGAAGGAAATGTGACATTTGATGAAGTCATGTTCAACTATCCCACGAGACCAAACATCCCAGTTCTCCAGGGGCTGAGCCTCCAGGTAAAGAAGGGCGAGACACTGGCCCTGGTGGGCAGCAGTGGCTGTGGGAAGAGCACGGTTGTCCAGCTTCTCGAGCGGTTCTACGACCCCTTGGCCGGGACAGTGGTAAGCACACTTTCATATTCAGCTGATTTCTGATTTTTCATTTTCTCAGTGACTGGGTGTATTTCATTCTTGATGACAAACCAAGGGGTTTCAAACCTTTAAACAATAGCTCTTCTTAAATAAAGTGTGACAGCCTAGGTTGGGGTCCAAGCTGGGTCAGGTGCCCTGCCACCTTCTTTAGCCTCCCTCTCAACACTGCCTCTCTACCCTGCTTTCTGAGCTGCCTTCTCACTACCCATATCCCTTGCTATGATGAGATTTCAGCTGATGTGAGAAGAGCCAGCAAAAAAGTGAAATATCCATAGAGTCAAAGGGGGGACACTAGGAGAGGCAAGTGAGATGAAAGCCAAGGATAGTCTTGTTTCAAGCAGGAGAATATGGTCAGCAAGGACAGAAGCTATGCAGAGACTGGATAAGATGAGGACTGAGAAGACATGATAGGATCTGGCAATTAATGAGCTATTTCTGACATTTTATGCTTGCACTTAAGTGGGGRTAATAGAAAACAGGTAAGCATGACTGAAGGATGGTTAGGAGGAGAAAGAGAGATTTCAGTGTAAACTATTAAAAAGATCAAAGATGAAAGACAGACAAATTAGAACAATAACCTGAATGGGCAGAGTCCAAGGAACACATTTGGGAGTGAGAATCTGGAACATTTTTATGGCCAAAAGATGAGATAATACTACTGGGGTAAAGAGGACATTGAAACATCTTCCAAGACAAAAAATAGACTACTATTGGCACATTTGGAGAGTGGATAAAGAATATGGAGGAATGACCTTTTGTTTTCTGAACTAAAAAGATGAGTGAAGAGTCAGAATTATTCATTTAGTAAAACTGAGTGCCTCTACGGGTGCTGGGTATGAGATAGGAATCTGAAGAGAGTAGTGAATTTAAATGACTAAAATCAGGGCAGAAAAAGAGCCAGATTGGGAGGAAACAGAATGTAGAGCAAAAAAATTTTATTATGTAGGCATATAGTTATGGGTTGTACTCAGAGGTAATGTTCAAAATTTTTAATAACTCATGTTGTGTGGGCACAGACCAATAGTCAGACTGATGTCCACCAATGCCATATTGACCCCATTGCATTAATGACTGAAATGAATTTCAGCCTGTATCCAGGGCCCTTTTTTACTTCCCCATAGCAATCAATCACTCAGAAATATTTTTTTTACTGTATTTAAAGATAGCTATGGCTTTACTCAGTCTCTTTTTTAATAGATATCAAGACTTTGTTTCTAATTTTTACTTTTCTGTTTTCTGTGAATTCTGATTTTGTGTTTCAATTTTGTGACTAAAGTTTGAACAGAGGATTCTAAATGAAGTCATCACTGACATTTTGAAGCACTAGGGAGAAAATGTTAGTTCTCAGTCTCTGATTAAGATCCTTATAGATGGTTATTAAACAGCATGTTAAACATTGTGTTCTAATAATTATAGGACAGTGTTTGCCCTCAAAGACTTTAACTGAGATGGGTCATATGCTTCCATGCATTATATTTAAAAAGAAGTTAGGCCTAGGCCTGTTTTTAAGGGAAAAATAGGATTTGCATATAGGTGAGCACTCAAGGTAGTATTCAGAGGAAGGCATAATGGAAGCTCTGCTTGGTAAGTGATTTGATCTCAGTGAAAATAGAGGCATGTTCTGCTGAAATAGGGAATTCAGTAAGAGTATGATTCTCAAGCTTTTCTGATTATGTATGAAGGATTTTAAAAGTTGTACAGCCAGCATACTCATAAACACTTTCCAGTGGAAAAAACACTTGGTGGTAATAAAATGTTGGAGTTGAAAAAATAGTCAACAGTAAAATAATTACACAAGAAGAGAATAAATTAATTATTATTTTACAAGTGCATAAACATAAGCACAGCATAACTTAAAGTGGGCAATATTAGTTATAGTTTAGTGTAGAAAGCAAAAATCGCTCTAGGTATTTCAAGGAGATAAGTATTTAATAAAGGGAATTAGGTGCTTACTCCTTGGAAGGGCTGAAAAAGTGAAAATAGAATAAGCTACTCCCAGGCTTCCAAATCACAGCACTACAGCTGTGATCCTATGACCAGGAACTTGCAGAAAGTTATGCTAATGCCATAGCTATTCCATACCTAAAGACACAAGACTTGAGTCTGGCTGTTACAAAAACTTCCATCTGCCCTAACCCATGTGTTAGTTTGTCCCTGCTGCTAATGGAGAGTAAGCTCTGCCTCCCAAATTTTACACAGTGAATCTCACTGATAGACCCAACTCATTTCCAGAATCCAGGAAGCCTGGGAAAGAGATTTTAGCCTTCTAGTCCCTTGATATATGGACAGGCTGACACAGAAGAACGTGGAAATGGATGCTGAGTGCATAGGACAATAATCATCTCAAGAGAGCACTGAAAACAAAGAGTCCTCATTTATTGCAAGGATGTCCATTATCTGCTCCATTACATTTGTACTAGAGCCTTAAAATACTGCCAAGTGATGCACAGCAGCCAGACTTCTTAGAAGAAGTGCCCTCAATAAACTCAAGTAAATATGCCAAGCTTTCTTTATAAATATCAATTAGTAGCCCTTAATAATTTGGCAGGAAGATTAGTATCATTTAGTTCTTATTGCTGTGTACAAATGACTCTGCAGATTTTAGCATTGCTTAATCATAAGCATTGAAAAAAGGAGTTAAACCAGAGGACCTGAAAATGAGAAATTCCCATGACCATCAGCAGGCCTTCTATCATACTTTGAGAAACCTTGACCTGGAATGGTGGTTCTCAAACCTTGGTGTGTATTAGAATGGCCTAGAGAGCTAGTAAAGAACACAGCCACACAGGATCAGTCAAGTAGGCCAGGGTGACTGTTTTTATACTCAGGTGATTCTATAGTTTGAGAACTGCTGAACTGGTAAATCTGAAGGAAGGTTTAGGCTGAATTGTCCAGAATCTTTAAAAATCACGCAACGAAATTGTTAAGAGGAGAGGACCCAAGTTTGTGAGACCCGAAAGTTACACAATTCTAAGAATTCTATTAAAGAAAACAAAATTTCAAATCCAAAAATAAAGTTCCAAAATAAATATGTACTTCAAATGAAAAAGAAGTTCAACAAAATCTCAGTACTGGGGCCATAAAGATTTGGGGCCCTTTCTTTTTAGACAATTTGCCATAAATGCTTATAGTGAAGAGCTTCCTGACATGCTGGCCTCCCTCCCATGAGAACACTGTCCAGGTACCAGGCTTAGCATGCGTTTAAGGGGACTTTATGAGCTTGAGCCCTCTCCAAACATGCCTTTCTCCCCTCTCTGGTCCATCCCATGCACCATGGTGAGGGTCCTCCATCCCCTCTAGGATACAGCTAGAAGCCCCTCATCATTGTTCGGTTATAACCCAGGAGGTACCTGGGCCAAGATGGAGGCATTCTCTTTTAAGAGAGGACAGAAAATAATCTTTAATTATGAGACATTTGTTACCAAATCCATCCCATAGTGTTTAAATCCAATTAAATCCAACCCAGATGCCCTTAATTACTACTTGGACCGAGTGACCTTTTCGAAGTCACTTAATTTTTGCTCATTTTCTTGTCTATAAGATACAGATTAAAATCATAGTTACCTCCTGAAAGGAGTTGTGCATATTAAATGAGAATGTATGAAACATGCTTGTCATAGAATTTACAATATTATCTGTGCTTGATTTTAAAATTTATTATTATTTCAGAGTACATATGCATAAAAAAGTATGTATTTCACATTTGAACTTTGCACTAATAAAAGCAAATGGTACGTTTGATAATTTCCAATAGAGGTAGCTAGTCATTGTAATTTGGCCTCACGTTATTTCTTGCCAATGTTTCCTTTCTTGGTTATGCTTTTGTTTAAGCCAAAGTCCTTTAAGCAGTTTTTAACAAATTCCCTAGAGTTCCTTGGTCTTCCCTCAGACCACAGCCATGTCTCAGCCAATGAAATTGTGCTTTCATCTGTTTTACATTCTGGGCTTCTAAATATGTTTTCCTTAAAGGATTCTTCAGTTAACACAAATTTTATATAGTTTGCAATTCTAGGATTGTGCAGGGCCCTATAGATTATCATATTCAGTGTAATGAATTGCTTCATTAATACTGAGATTATTCAGACTTGCCTATGATTATATTAGATAGTATCTATTTTCCTCATGGGGGTAGAAGCCTGAAATATTTTTTTAAGGTCTTTCTTTCCTCAGATTTCCATTTCTGAAGTACAGTATTCCATCTAATAAGATTTTCTCTTTAACCACATCCTTGCATGGTTTTTTTATTGCCTTTCACCAGCCTCTATTTTTCCACCCTCACTTATTCGAACTGTAAGGAAGCCTGGAGCATAAATGCTCAGAATGATCTCCATGGCAACTGGGCTTGGTACTAAATAAGGTCATGGCTGTGTTTTCTGTCCCTGTACCTGCCAGCATTGTAGGCAGAAGCTGTGTTCCTACAGCAAGGATCTATCTACCTTACCTCTGACCAGCAATCTCCCAGAGGCCCCCAACCAGCCACACAGGACATTGAGTGTGTGGCTCAATAAATACTTATCACTGCATTGGCAAAGCTCAAAGCTGAGTCACTGCTCTCATCTTTAGAGGTCGTGAACAGCTCTCTCATTTGAATGCCAGGAGTTCTCTTGCAGAGCAGATCTATTCAATAGGCATATCTTGATCAGAGAGTAAGGCTTTTCATCAGCAAGGCTATAAAGGGTCCTTCCCAGTCTTCTGCAGGATAATCTAGGGAACTGGATCCTAGGGAAAGAGCAGCCTTTCCTTTCCTCCTCCTGGGGCTCAGTATTCATCCTCTATACTTCCAAGTGCATCACCTACACAGTTACAAACTGCTTTCAGCCCTTGAGCTCTTTAGCCTGTGTCTGGTGCTATGCCAAGCAGGGCCCAAAAGATCTTATTTAATCCTTGATTTTGTAAATCTGTGAATCATCATCATTCATGTTTTTCCCACAGGAAACTAAAAGAAATTAATTCTTTTCCCCAGTATCAACAACTATGGAGAGATACAGTAGCTACCTTGCCAAGCTTGGTTCTATTCCATTTAGCCATTTAAATCCAAGTCAGATCAGAAACCTTATATACAAAACTATTATGTGGTCATAATTGTTATTTATTTCTATTCTGATGCTGAACACATTTTTTGTGAAAAATTGAGATGTGAAAATAAAAGGATGCCAGGATACAACCCAGAAGTATCAGACATCGTCTTAGTTTCCCAGGTTGCCATAAATGATCGTCACAAATTTAGTGGCTTAACACAGATTTAATATCTTATAATTTTGGAAGTCAGAAGTCCAAAATAATTTCACCAAGCTAAAATCAGGATGTCAGCTGAACTGTGTTCCTTCTGGGAACTCCAAGGGAAAATCCATTTTCTTGCCTTCTCGACTTGTGGCCCCTTTCTCTGTCTTGAACGCCAGCGATGACTGACCAAGTCTCCTCATACTGCACTGCTCTGGTGCTCCCCTGCCTCCTTCTCCCATTGTTAAGAACCCTGCTGATTACATTGGGCTCACCAAGATAAGCCGGGATAATCGCCTTATTTTAAGGTTAGCCGATTAGCAGCCTTAATTCCATCTGCTACTCTAATGCCTCTGACATGTATAATGTAATATATTCACGGGTTTCTTGGGTTTAGGACATGAATATCTTAGAGAAGGGGGACATTATTCTATTAGTGCATATACCAGAAACCAAGGTAAAAAGATAACATTCTCTCAAAGTGTACAATGATGATCTTTTTGAATTAAGTTTTGCAATTCAAATTAAAACAAACAAAACCCTTTCCTTAATCTCACAGTAACTTTTTAGTTTTGCTGTATGAAATGATGATTTCTACTTTGCTGAATTCAAAAGTGCACTGATCTTAAAGTTGCCCTGTGAACTTTTGCTTTCAGCTACTGGACGGCAAAGATATAAAGCAACTGAATGTCCAGTGGCTTCGAGCACACCTGGGCATTGTGTCCCAGGAGCCCATCCTGTTTGACTGCAGTATTGGAGAGAACATCGCCTACGGGGACAACAGCCGGGTCGTGTCACAGGAAGAGATCGTGAGAGCAGCCAAGGAGGCCAACATACACAACTTCATTGAATCACTGCCTGATGTAAGTCTCTCTCCAAATTAAGATCCCAGGAGCATGTAGCAACCCTGGCCCATACCTCCCAACCCCTATCATTTGATTTCTAAAGAGCTGGTTTCCTAAAGATGAAGAGAAGAAATTAGCAACCAAAACACACCCCCCACACACCTGTATATAAGTATGTAGCCATACTTCCTGTCCTGGTCAGATGTTATGTTTACTTCATCATCTGATTCTCCACATAAGGAAGAGGTGAAAGTGTTGTATGGATTTGGGTTTAGGAGAGAAGAATTTCCCAAGGGGAACAGATCTAAAGCAATTCTTCAGCTTCTAGGTCGGAAGTTCTACCCCCTTCTGTACAATACCTGGGAGGCCTTTCCCTCCAAATTCAAGTACAGGGCCTGTCTCCACCTGTGAATGTGCTGCTTCTTGTCTTGCCAAGGAAGTATCATGCCTCCCCACTTCTCTCCTCTGTTTCTCTTACTTCTGCCTCTTGAGGCTATCCTCTAAGTTTCCAGCCTCACTCTCTGGAGTTAGGGCCAACAGAGAGCAGGACCCATGTGGGAAGATGACTGTCTCTAAGAGCCATCTGGTGTCATGTAGTCTTCAATCATTGTATATTCTGTGGACCCCAAGCTCCATTTATAGGGTTGATTGTTCAAAACTTCCCTGGGCCATTGTCCTATGTCCATCCTTTGAATCCCTGCAGGAAGTTAGATCACTAGATCTTTCACCATCTCTTAAGCCCTCTTAGGTCCTGTATTTTGAAATGCATCTCAACGTAACTAATCTACTCTTTCCCATTATCATTAGTTATGTTCTTTATTATGAGGAAGTACCCTCTAAAAAATAAAGTCCAATAGCCTCAAACTGATGAAGAAGACAGTCACCTAGGGGAAAGATGGTAGCACTGGGTAGCCCTAACTCCTCCTAAGATTTCTCTTTTCTTGAGCTCTTCTTCAGTTACTGTAACTCTCAACCACAGGCCCCCAAGAAGGAGGCACAGTTCCCTCTCCTCTTTTAATAGTCTAGTTGATTCTTCTTGAGGCTAGAACCCTTAAAATATAGAATTCCAAACCCTTTATTAATGAAAAGTCAGTGGTCCTCAATTTTTTTCTCCATTTTAAAAAATGTGTTTTACTTAGTTATACATGACAGCAGAATACATTTCAATTTATTGTACACAAATAGAGCAGAACATTTCAACTCTCTGGTTGTACACGATGTAGAGTCACACCATTCATATAATCATATATGTACCTAGGGTAATAATGTCTGTTTCATTCCACTGTGTCTGTCTCATTCCACTGTCTTTGCTGCCCAATGCCTCTTTTCCTCCTTACCCTCTCCTTTGCCCAATCCAAAGCTTCTCCATTCTTCCCATGCTCCTCTCCCCATTATGGATCAGCATCTACTAATCAGAAAAAACATTCGGCCTTTGGTTTTGGGGATTGGCTTACTTCACTTAGCATGATATCGTCCAGCTCCATTCATTTACCTGCAAATTTCATTTTATTCTCTTTTAATGCTGAGTAATGTTCCATTGTGTATATATACCACAGTTTCTTTATCCATTCAACTATTGATGGGCATCTAGGTTGTTTCCACAGTTTAGCTATTGTGAATTGAGCTGCTATATACTCATACATTGCTGGTGGCACTGCAAATTGGTGCAACCACATTGGAAAGCAATATAGAGATTCCTCAGAAAACTTGGAATGAAACCATCATTTGACCCAGTTATCCCGCTCCTTGGTCTATACCCAAAGGACTTAAAAATCAGCATACTACAGTGATTCTCAAATTTTGAACATGGATCAGCATTGCTTGGGAACTTGTTAGAAATGCACATTTCGAGGCCTCCCCTAGCTCTGCTGAATAAGACACATTGGAGGAAGAGTCTGCATTCTAACAGCCCAGCTGAGACTGATGCAGGCTACAAAACACAAATATGAAGAATAACAATTATCAGCTCTTTAAATATATCCTGTCCCTCTCATGTTTATCTACCTCAGGGATCTTCCTTTCTGGACTTGTGGTCTCTGGCACACAAAGCACACCTGTAGACATAATGACTGTCTTGGGCAGTGCCCAGACTAGCACATTTAAGTCGTATTATCTGTAAGGTCCCTCTTCTCCTAAGTGGCTAGTACTGGGGTTTACTTTACTCTGCAGGAGGCTGCTTATTGCCCTCCTTCCTGTAGAGTTACATCACTGCTCCACTCTGCCTCAACAGAATCAGTGCTCTACCCTGCACTCATACGAGACATGCTTCCATGCACCTGCTACCTGAGGAGCCACAACTCAGGGGTGGAGCCACCAGGAGCATCTGCCAAAACCTTGCCAGGAGTCTTCTCACTCCATTTAAGGGGAAGACCTTGTTCTGAACACCACAGAACTAGGTTTGCCAGATACAGCAAATAAAAACAGGCAACCCTAAATAGAAGGTGAATTTTACAGTCTCCAGGTGTAAGTTGGATATCAAAATGGGATTCCTTGATATCCAATAAATTATTTAGGTGTTGGGAATAGTTTCATAAAGACACCAAAAGACTAAAATCTCAGGAATTTTCCTTTCCTCACTTTAAAATCATGCAGAGGGCGTCACCTGCTGGTTATAAATAGGATGAGCTTCAATTATTATGTACCACTTGTTAACAAATCACATTTCCATTTTCCTACCCATCTTTGTCCCAAATATAATGAAACCAAAAGATGAAAGATAAGATGATGGCAACAATATTATTTTTTATAAAAATTCTGGCATATTTATACTAAATAGCATATTTATACTTATTTTAAGGCCCAAATGTCTTTTATCAGAATGATTAAACCTAGCATCTAGGACTTTTTATTGTTTAACACTCCATGAGCTCATTCTTAACTTCTGAACCTAAATTTTTCCAATTATCCCATCAGAAAATTTTCCTGTTTTCTGTGAGTAATTTGTGTGTTTGAACTTTAACATCAGTTCTGCTTTCATAATAACCAAACTCTGTTTACAGAAATACAACACCAGAGTCGGAGACAAAGGAACTCAGCTCTCTGGTGGGCAGAAGCAGCGCATTGCCATAGCTCGAGCCCTTGTGAGACAGCCACACATTTTGCTTTTGGATGAGGCCACATCAGCTCTGGACACAGAAAGTGAAAAGGTGAGAATTTACACTGGGTTCATCCACACACGAATCGATTGTCCTTGAAAGGTGTAAATTTACACGTTTCTCTGAACAAAATTTAGCCAGAAAGATTGTTGCTTATGTCAGTAGCATTTGAAGTCTTTTTGTAGCTGTTATTTAGGAGAGTTAAGAGGATACAAACAGATTAGTCTTAGAGCACTTAGGCTTCAAAATAGCAGCTCTGCCTCACTTTGTGTTCATCTAAGATGCTGCATTCAGGAGACTCATTCCCACCTCTGCTGGCAGCATCTCTTCAGCAACTGCATGAAGAGGGGTGAGGGTAGGGTAAAGTTCAAATCTGGCTGTACCTTAAGATAAATGTTGATGATCATTTTCAGTTTGAGAAAAGGTTAAAAATTCAGCTATCTGAACAAGAAGGATTATGTCTCCTGTCTTAAAAATTCTAAAATTCAAGGAGGCTGAGTTTGGCCCTTTTGCTGCAGTGCTGGATTGGAGAGATGCTTTTAGGAAAGTTGTATGGCGAGGCACATTTGGAAATATTTTTAAATGATTGGATGAATTCTGTTTACTGCTATACCTTTAAGAACAATAATCTAGTGTCTCAGAAGCAATCCAAACTGGGGGGTCAGTTATCTTCTGGTATGAGAGATCCCTCAGTTTCTAAAATCTGTTGTATTTCACTGGCACCAACCGTTTAAGAAGGACATATTGAAAAATTGTGGGGCTTGTTACAGAGAGGTTATTATCAGAATTAACTTGTGTAACTCTCATCAACAGGTTGTCCAGGAAGCCCTGGACAAAGCCAGAGAAGGCCGCACCTGCATTGTGATCGCTCACCGCCTGTCCACCATCCAGAATGCAGACATGATCGTGGTGTTTCAGAACGGCAAGGTCAAGGAGCATGGCACACATCAACAGCTGCTGGCACAGAAAGGCATTTATTTTTCAATGGTCAGTGTCCAGGCTGGAGCAAAGCGCTAGTGAACTGTGACCATATGAGATGTTAAATATTTTTTTAATATATATTTTTTAAATATGGCATTTAATCAAATTTACAAAGCAAGTGCTTATTGGAACATGTACTTATCTGTTTAACATTTTCTTCCACAATTGAACATTATTTCATCAAGTTCAGAATCTTCAGAGACATTACAATTACAGGAAGATAAATAGAAACAACATCATCAAATACGGGGTGGGGTGCAGATAATGGTTTTAATTGCATTCTAGAATTTATAAAAGGATTTCAGGCAGATTTGTTTTTGATGAAGTATATAATTTTGTTTATACTTTCTCATTTGAACTGTAACTGACTGCCTTGCTAATAGATTATATAAATAGCAAAAAACACTGAAACATTTGCATAAAGTGCCTATAATAAAACTAAACTTTCATATGATAAGAGTCTTTTATTCAAAATGTGTCTGTGTGTATACATACATATGTTTGTATATAATATATTTACACACATACATGCATACTTTCAGTTGAAATATTCTGGATAATTTTGGCTTTTAAAAGTAGATTCTTTAAAAACCCATTCATTTGGGGGAATTTTTTAACACTCTAATAAATTCTGTTCTGTACATCCTTTCACATTGGGTCTCATAGAACTGTCTGGCTTCCTTCCTCTTGGTCTTGATCCTGCTGATTCTTGCATTCCTATTCTGATACTCTCAAGCCTATCGCACAAATCAATACAAGATTTTGAGAGTTAGAGTAAGTTGCAATTATGAAGTGAATATTACACAGATGTAACATAAATCTTTTGCATTGCTCTTATAAAGGACTCTTCAAGGATTTTAACATTTTTGTGCTTTTAAAAATACAATTACTCTTTCTGTATATTGATAATAAATCACTATTCTCAGCAATTGGTCCCTTCCAAAGGTGAATCTCCTTATTTGCAGATATTTAAAATGTGCCATGAGTTTGAATACATCCTGATACAAATATAAAAAGAAGAAAATATTACAAGGATTGGTACTCTAACTACAAAAATTTTAAACTTAGCCCAGAAGCATATAAACAAGATTGAAAGTCACAAGTTGCAGGCCATATTTACCCTAAGCAATTGATATCTTTAAAGAACTTCTAAAAAGAAAAAAATACATTTTCTCCAAGAAAAAATTGACAAAGGATATGTTCAAATAATTCCCAAACATGGAAACATGAGAAAAAGCATACATTTTTTCAATAATAAAGAAAGGAAGATTAAAACAAAATATCTTTTTTTTTGCCTAGTAACCTGACAATAAATAAAAAAATTTCTACTATAACAAACCTTATTAGTTAGCTTGGTCACTGATATAAATTTCAATCATTACTTAACAATGTAAGAAAAGTTTTTAAAATGTGTATCTTTGAGATAGCAATTCCCATTGTAGGAATTTAGTTAGGAGATATATACAATGATGCTTATTGTAGCATTATTTGTAATATTGAAAACAAAAGATCTAAATGTTTAGCAATAAGAAATGCACAAAATTTTGGTGCATTTACAAAATCGAATACTATATAATTATTAAAAATTAAATTGGAGAGGACAGATAGTCAAATAGAGGTACCCAACATTTGTCTCCTCTTCCACAAAAAAAACAAAAAACCAAACAAACAGAATAACAAGTAAAAAAAGCTGCATTTTGAGACAAGTAGCATTAGAATTAAGCAAGAGAGAAACAAGAACACCATTAGAGATTTGGGATAGTGGCACAGAGAGTGGATCAAAGTGTAGTGACATCTGTAATCCTGTTTTGCCAGCTGAGGAAAACCCCCCACAATAGGAGAAAGGGGGGTCAGGGGAGTTCCAGCAGAACACCTTGTTGGGATCATGGGCAACCTCTCCACAGATAACAGCAACAACACTTGTGACAGAATGGATAGGCTTGGAGCCCAGTTCAGTGTACTTCCTATAGTCTCCACTGCAGCTTTGCTTCACAGAAGGAATTTACATTGCCATCTCCTTTACCTCCAGATCTCAGACTACTGTAGTTTGAGCAAAATACTAGAAGCAGAACTACACTGCTTCCCTAGCCACTCTAATCAGCTTAGGCCACATAGTTAGCTTGGACTGATCTGCCATCCTAATTGGCCTGGACTGCCACTATAATCTGCATCAGCCATAGCTGAACTGCTGTCCCAAATGGCTTAGCCATGCAGTCAGTCCAAGCCACCTCCATGATTAGTCTGAGCAGCTGCCACCCTCTGCTGGGCCAGAATTTTCAGGCTTCATGTTCTGAACACCACAGATAGTCCCTAGTCACCATAACCACTTCTGGGCATGCTACCATGGCTGAGGAAATATCCACTGTGCTCCATTGTTTCTGAATCACCACGTTCATTGCTGGAATGGCTACATGATGGGCACCCGACTCCTATTGCTGTGTGTATCACATCTGTTGGGCCACCAGAGCACACCCCCCACACACAAGGATGGAAAAAGAAGGGCTGTCTGACTCAGCCACCACATACCCTGTGCCTAAAGCCGTTGATTGCAGCCGAAGAGGCTACAGGAAGACTATACTGTGGTGTCCAACTGAAACCAAAGCCAAAAGAGTTTACCAAATTGAAACCCTGAGACATGTATCATTAGGAAAAAGCCATTTACTACCAAAGCCAGCTTATAACAGTGGTAGAAACAACTGATCCAGTCGATGCACAAATTTCAACATAAGGTGGCTAGAAAAAATGAAAAAAACAAGGTATGATGAACACAAAAGAATAATTCTGTAGTAACAGACATCGATGAAAGAAGAACATTTATGAAATCCAAAAGAATGATTATAATAAAGCTGAGATTCAAAATAATGCAGACAATGCATTGAAGTTTGGAAAATAATTCGTGATATAAATGGAAAACTTAGAAAACAGATCTTTTAAAATAATCAAGCAAATCTTGGAAATGAAGAGTTTAATGAGTAAAAATATAGTTGAAAACATCAACAGACTAGATCAAGTAGAACAAAGAATATCTGAAAAAGTGAAGAAAAAGTGGAAAGGCATTGAAATCCCGTTCAATCAATAATATCTTAAAACTTCTCAATCTTTTGAAATATATGGACATCCAGGTCTAGAAAGCAAATAAGACCCCAAACAAACATGACGAGAAAAGATCCACACCATCACATATTATGGTCAAACTGTCAAAAGTACATGACAAACACAATTCCAAAAACTGCAAGAGAAAACCACCACATTTAAGTTACCTCCATTAGACTAATGGCAGATTTCTCATTAGAAACCTCACAGGCCAGAGGTAATGGGATGATATATGACAAGTCCTGAAAGAAAACGAACTACCAACGTAGAATACTATACCCAGTAAAACAATCATTAATGAGGAAAAAAATCGAGATCTTTCAAGACAAGCCAAACTTGAGAGAATTCAGCCCCATTAGACAAGACTTACCAAACCTACTTAAGGAAATCCTATGCACAGAAGTAAAATAAAGATTACTACCACCATAAAAATACATGAAAGGATAAACCCATTAGAGGAGAAGATATACAAAATAAAAATATAAATAGTCAAACCTTATCAGTACATGATATGGTTTGGATGTGAGGGGTCCCCAAAAAGCTCATGTGTGACAAGGCAAGAAGGTTTGGAGGAAAGATGATTGGGTAATGAGTGCCTTAACYCAATCCATGAATTAATTACCTGAAGGCAGGTGAGGTGTGGCTGGAGGAGGTGAGTCATGGGTGGCATGCCTTTGGAGTATATATTTGTATCTGGCAAGTGGAGATCTCTCTCTCTCTCTCTCTCTTTCTCTCTCCTGCCTAATCCTCATGTGAGCTGCTCACTACCACCACACTCTTCCTCCATGATGTTAGGCCTCACTTCAAGCCCTGAGGAGTGGAGCCAGCTCTCTATGAACTGAGTCTTCAAAACTGTGAGCCCCCAATAAACTTTTACTCCTCTACAATTGTTATTGTTGGGTCTCTTAGTCACAGCAGCAAAAATACTGACTAAAGCAGAAATTGGTACTGGGAAGTGGGTTTGTTGCTGTGACTAACCTGACCATGTGGTTCATAAGTTTTTGGAGCATTTTGGAACCAGTTGGAGGAATTTTGAGTACAAGCTGGACATGCTTTAAGATTGTTATAAGCAGAGTTTAATGGCCAATTCTGGTTGGAGCTCAGAAGACCAGAATGCCAATAGGATGGTGGACAGTGAAGACAGGGGTCAAGAGGATTTAGAAGAAAAGGAGGACAGTACTGGTAATTGGACTAGAGGCCATTCATGTTATTTTTGTCTGGGAAGTTGTCTGCATCTTCCCCATGTCCTGAGACTTTCTGTAAGGCTGATTTTAAAAGCAATGAACTTCTTAATCTGGTGGAAGAAATTTCTATGCAGCATAACACTCAGGAAGTGGTATGGATATCAACAGTGGCTTTTGGCCAAGTTTATTGTGCTATTCAGGAGCAGAAAGCAGAGCAGAAAGATTTGAAAAACTTGGACTTGAAAAGTGGGTGTAAAACTGGGGCCAAGAAAGTTGCAGTTGTTAAAGACATTACTGCCACTAAAGAAATGTGAAAGACTTTGTCCAGAGACAATAAGAAAGATGGCTTTTGGGCATCTCAGGAATTGGCAAGATCATATCCATCTCAGACTCAAGGAAGTAAAAGTAAAAATTATCTTGAGAAGAGACCAGTGGGGAGCTCTTCTTGCACAAGGAGGCTAAGGAAGTTTTTTCGACATACTCAGCTACCCAAGCACTCAGAGGCTTCTGCACCCAGGATCCCTGGAGCTTGACTACTGCTTGAGATGGAGCAGAACTTGGCATCAACGATGTGGTGCTGGTTCAGCAGGAATGCAGAAAGCTGGAGGTAGGGGGTCATGGAGGCTTCCACCAAGATTTCAAAGGAAGGTCTGGAAGGCTAGTGCAGCAGGGTCGGAGTCCCTGTGGGCAACCCCCGACAGGACAATGCATGGAGATGTGAGGAAGAAGCCAAAGCTGCAGCAGAGACCTCCAAGATTAAGAAATTGCCAGTGCTGTGGAATGTCCACTGAGGAAAGCTGCAGGGATTGAGCTGAGCTGAGCCAACAGAAAGGCCACTTGGGCTGCAACCAACAAGGCCACAGGGGTGGAGCTACAGAAAGCCCTTTGGACAGAACGTCACATGCCATGTGTCCCAGATGCTGAATGTGAAGCTACAGGATTTGTTTGCCCAGCTGGATTTCAGTCTTACTTTAGTCCTATCCCTTATTTTTATGTCCCTATTTTTCTGAATGAAAATGTTC